CCATCTAGTTTGAGTAATATGCACAGCACAATACACTCAATACTAGTTTGACACAGTAGACATATAGAACAAGACTGATGTTCACAATGCTTGCAGGGTAGCTTTCATGATAGTTGAATTTAGATAGTAAGTTGTGCAAAAATTTATAGAGCAAGTGTGTTATGAACTTATGATCCATGGCTGGAGAGACATGTTTTGTGGTTGCCCTTGTACAGCTTCAGTGTGATGAAGACATATGTCTGTAGTTGAAATCTTTCACTAACAGTTGCCTCTCTTAATGGCTTAGTTTTGTTCACACAGGAATCCATCAGTAGATAAATAAAGCAAAGTGATCATCTCCTTGCACAAGGAAGAAAATTCAGAGAGTGTCATAATTTGGACTTAATCTTAACATATCAAAGTGAAGTTCCTTTTTAGATCATGACCTGATATCATTGAGGCAGGAATTCACTCATGAGAACTTGTGAGACAACATAAACTTCAAAAGAGTAAATGTGGAAGCAAATTATCTCATATCCTAGGTCAAATAATTAAGCCAATCAATTTGGGAATTATTTGACCTAATTGGGAGTTACTCAATTCAATTGGGAGGTTATTTGATTTAAATGGGATTTATTTGATTCTTGCCTTAAATCAAATCCCTAATTACATTGATCTTGCCAAATCAGGAGAATAATTCCTTTCCATCTGTGGAATTATTCTTCCAAAACCTTAGCCTCCGAGGCTTCTATAAATACTTGGCTACGCACAAGGTTGAGGTACATATAAATTTCTATCTAAAACTCTGCAGAAATTCTCTCTCACAAACCCTAGCCACCATACTCTTTCTCTCTCTCACACAAGGCTCCGGCCACCACACACGGCTCCGGCCACCCAGTTCTCACCTTAGAGAAATCTCCACCCTATTATTAGCTATTGTTTTCCTACAAACACTTGACCTAACTTAGGCATCCCCCCCCCCCCCCCCGGTGTGGTCCTTTTATTCCGATTTGTTTTGCAAGGAGAAAGAGAAGCGAAGAAGACGACGGAATTTTAGACGAATATTCTTGTGGGATGAAAATCGCTCCCACAGTAAACAAAACAGCATGAGAACTTGTGAGACAATATAATCATCACTCATCATTATGCATCATATGTGCCAATCAATCATTTCAGTTGAATAAAGCACAAGATTAGCAATGGAAATGTGAGGTGGGGCTTTGCATGAAGCATGCTTCAATCAGAAACTGGGCTGTGATGAACGCATCGATGATGATTAAAAAATTAATAATAATAATAACCTATAAAGGTCCTGAATCATAGTTATAAAACAGAAACTAAAGTTTGAAGCTCAACCAAGAAAAGAAATATATGTGAGGGATATAAAACCACATGCCAACTCCGTTTCTTATTATTATCAAAGAAATTTCCAAAGAGAAAGAGACTGGAGAGGTGTGCCCTTCCACCCAACAACAAGGCATTTCCCATCCATATTGACTGTGCAAGAACTCCCACAAGAAAAATTCTTAAGCACCAGGTCTACTTGATACAAGGATGATGGGCTCAAATCTATTTCCTCCATTCCATACCGTGCGAAAAATGCCCTCCAAACGTCAATCTTCACATTTCGAATCTTCCTTTCCTCTCCTTCAGCTGCCACAATGTTTCTAAGTCCATTCCCAAAGTACTGTGATTCTAAAATCATTCTGTTTGGATCATTTCGTTCCATACAAGTTTCCACGCAATCGAAGTATGCGCCAAAGAAGAAAAGGGCCTCAATAAAACGGGTCACAAAGACTGGAGAGTTGTGATTTCCCTCAACTTCAGTGACCACTGTTACACATGGACGGATGTTTTTTATTACTCTCATTGCAGATTCCAGTCGATCTGGCTGTGCAACCATGGTCCTCATTGCGAACTCAGAGTAGACAGCAACTGTTTCTTCAGAATCTAGCTCAAACATATCTTCTTTGAGATCTAGCATGTCTGGTACCATCACTAATTTGAAAGAAAAGGGTAAGTTCATGCTTTCGGCAAAACTCTCCAACCTCTTACCTGTTTCCTCAATTAATTTTCTGGAACTAGTTCCTATAGCACTTATCTTGAGAAGCTCAACTGGACAATCAGAACGAGATACTAAGGCTTGCATCAGACCTGTCCATTGCACCCCATTCCTGATTTCCAGATCAATTACATGTACCTTCTTAGCCTCAGCCACATTTTCCACAATGGCTTGAATTCCAGCAAATTGTGCAACTTGGCCGAAAGGAATCTTGATTTGACATGCAAGGGAGGTCTCATTTGGTCTCCTCATTGCCTTATTAACATCAAATGAAGGCTTGTTCCCCAAACCCTTTGGTGTGACTCTTCCAGTTTCGCGATCAATCTTCTCTCGAAGAGCTTCAGAAAAATAGTAAACTACTCGTTCAACTGAATTCCCGGTACTGGAAGACAACAAATCACATCGATTAAGCAATTTGCCTGCACGCTCATACTGCTGATATCCTACTTTCTCAGCAGAAGCGAGAAGGAACTCAACAAGCTCCACATCTCTAGTCTCCTCAACTGAGAGGCCAGAAAAGGAGAATTCATAAGGATGGCTTAGCATGGAAGCAACACCAGACGCTTGGGAAGAAGTCCGAATGAACCTTGCTCCTGCCACCCTCATGATTTCTTCAGTTGATAACTTCCTGCCTGCCACCTGATCTGTGTAATTGCTAGACTCAAAAATCCTTTCCCCATTCAACCGTTTAAACCCGCTGCCGTAGTTGTTCAAGAGATCAAGCCCTGCTAAGGAGGAGAAATCTCGCTTCTCTTTCTTGGGTTCAACATGTGGAACCAAAGTTGGGATATCTTCAAGCTTTGCAATCTCCTCTAAGCATGCTTGAAATGGTGGAGAGAGAGCATCAAACTGCATGGCATCAAATAATCCAAAGTCTGAAACCAATGGTTGCTGCTCTTCTTGTTGTTGAAACCTGGGGAAAAGGATCTCTGAGGAGTAGTGATTATTGCCATAAAATCCATTATCTGAACCAAGGGAACCAAATCCCCCTGAGTCCCCCCAATTGTCAGCTTCATAAGAATGAACTTGTTTCCCAATTTTTTTCACCTCTTCCATTATAGTATCAGAACCTTTATCAGTGGAGCTAAGTTTATCCTGAACTCCACCAAAATTGAACTCCCCGAAAGAAAACATAGCATTCGTCATCTCGAAAGGGAAACTAACACACACACAATTTGGGCTCCAGGTTCAGATATTAAGCAAAATAATTCAAGATAGACATGAACAAATTAAACATCTTCTGAGTTTCTTATTCCAAGTTGGTTATATATGAAAATCACTTTGTAAATAGAATAATATTTCCCTTTTTGACACAGTCGCACATGGCTCATCATCAAGTACAGAACAACGATATTGATGTTTTTGATGCTATCAAGATGGCCTGCATCCCATAATCCAAATATATGAATGCCATTTGGCCCAATTAACAACAATAAAAGTATAATATAATTCCTTTCAGGATCCAAACGAGGTGTCAATGACAGCCCCCAATCATCAAAACAATTATTATACGAAGTTCCCAGACAATGTATCTCCTAAGAAGTTCAGCCAAGAGAGATGAAACAAAAGGAAGACAATATAGAATATTGTTATAATCAAGGAGCGAAGAAGATAATGCAATACAGGTAAGTTAGTTGGGTGCTTACAAAGCAGCCTGCCATGTACAAAGCTTGTTGTGCTTTCAATCCAAAGAGATGACGAGGCTCTGAGAGCGACAGCCAACAGAAGTTGGACGTTATTGTGTGTATATTTCACCTGTCATTAGCTTGTAACAGTACCTTGTCGGATTCGAGAGCAACAGCGACAGATTCTACACATCACAGACCTAATAGCTGGTGCAGACCGTGGCCGGCAGGCATGCACGTCTTGATAAGCGCCAGCGGCAGACCAAGATCAAGCAAAGCAACCGAATATATATATATATATATAGCATGGAACACAAGTAGCCCTTCAAATTTGTATGTGTATATATACAAGGACCATCAAAGTATATATTTATATGTCAAAGACAAAGGTGGAGAAAGAGAAAACGTACTCTGTATCTTCAAAATGTTCAATATCAACCACCAATTCTCTATGAATGGAAAGCTTAACAAAAGAAAGAAAAAAAAAGGAACATTAACCAACATGAGCATCATCAAGTATGAGTGAGAAGCAGTTCGTCTCGTGATAAAGTCGATTATAGGTAAGATTCTATAATCAAGTTCTTTTACTTTTTTGTTTGGAAGGGGGAATTTAAGGGCTAAGAAAATTTAAAATGATGGAATTTATAATGTTGGGCTCAAACTTCTTGATTTTGGACTGTTAAAATCATCACCCTAAATAAATTGAAAGGGAAACAAATTTAGCAATGCCCTTAACCCTGAACCTTGTGTCACTTTGTTCGTCCGAACTTTTAATTTGATTTTGAGTCTTCTTGAACTTGCATTACGTACCAATGTCCCTCCCAACCTGTGAGAATTGTCATTCACAATAAATAACTTAAGCCCTAACTTTAAGGGCATATACATCAATTGACGCCTCAACTAGGCATTGACCCCCAATTTTGAGCCTTGGGATCTAGTTGAGCGAGGATAAGATTTTAGGATCTGATAACAAGCAGGCTTGGACTTGAAGATATCTGAAGTTAAGGCCCTGTATTAGGCCGAGTGGTGTGCCATTGATTTAATTTACCCAATTAATCCATCAAGTCACTTTAACATAAAACAAAGTTAGTTCCACGGTATCCAGTAATATTATGACACGTAAGCAAACGCACATCAGATGACGTGGCGAAGAACGAACAAAAATCAACGAGTGTTATCTCAATCACACCTATAAACACCGGCAGGTCTCATTCCTCTCTCCGCTTCGTATAATAATTGTAAATTTAAAGTTTTGTTAACCGGAAGTGGTGGTTGTGGATCGGGTCGGATCTGCGCAGATCGAACAAAATCGAATCGGATCGGATCGGAGGGTGATGGCGGAGGACAAGTACAACCTGAAGAACCCAGCGGTGAAGCGGATTCTACAGGAGGTTAAGGAGATGCAATCCAATCCCTCCGACGATTTCATGAGCCTCCCCCTCGAGGTTACATTTACTTTTCCCATGCCCTTCCGTTTTTATTTTATGTAATTGATCTTTGACTTTTGGTTTAATTTCACATTGATGGGTAAGTTAAGATTTTGATAGGTGAATTTCAATTCTATTTAAATTTTGAGTATTGGGTTCGAGCTGAATTGGGATTTTTAGCATTCGAATTTGTTCTAAGATAATTTTTTGTGGTTTTTTGAAGAAGACATTGGGCATAATTGGTCACTTCGTTTTTTCGCTTTTCCGCTATTGGAATTGGGCATGTTGTTTGGTCAAAATGCTAATTATCAATCCGTCGATATCTGTAGTTAGCTCATTGGTATTTGTTTCCAGGAGAACATATTTGACTGGCAATTTGCAATCAGAGGCCCTAGTGAAACTGAATTCGAGGGTGGGATTTATCATGGGCGGATCCAGTTGCCGGCGGAATACCCATTCAAGCCTCCTTCATTTATGTTGTTGACGGTAATATGTTCTTGCTTTTTGAGGTTTATGGGCTCTTTTGCTGATTGGGTTAGTTTTCATTATTTTTTTATAATAAAAAAAAGAAAAAAAGATAACTCATGATGTGTTGGCTTATTTACTTTACTTGCAGCCAAATGGTCGCTTCGAAACCCAAACCAAGATTTGCTTAAGCATATCAAATCATCATCCCGAGCACTGGCAGCCATCATGGAGCGGTGAGTTTCATTCTTTCTGAGAGATTGTGTATGCTAGTAATATTGTATAATGCAGACAAAATTTCATATGATGTTTAAATTTGGAAGCTGATTATTAGGTAGCTAAATATGGTTCACTCATGCTGGATAGGTTTAGCAATTTTCCAATATGCATTTAGTAAGGGGCATCCATATTGCTTAGCCCAATCATGCACACCTGAACTCATAACATTTTAATAGATAGATACACCACTAAACCATGATTGGCTTGAAATGGAGTTGGAACTGGACTGCTTAGTCCAATGACCAAATCACTCTTAAGTCCATGCCGCAACCTAAACTAATTGTCTTGGCTGCATCCATTGTTTTCTATAATGTGACGTGTTTTGATCTTTTCCTATTTTTATTCTTAATGTGTATTTATTCAGTTATTGATATTTTAATCGGGATTGGGAATATGATCAGTGTGCTAATGGGAAAGACAGCTGAAATTTGAGTTGTGACATTTTATTTTCATCTTGCTAACGTACTGTTGCTGTTTGCAGTGCGAACTGCTTTAGTTGCACTTATTGCATTTATGCCCACCAACCCAAATGGTGCATTGGGTTCAGTAGAATACAAGAAGGAAGAAAGGCGTTCCCTGGCCATCAAATCTCGTGCAGCAGCCCCAAGATATGGCACTGCTGAACGTCAGAAGCTAATTGATGAGGTACCTTACCCACTAAAAGTTACATTGCAATCAACACAGACTAGCATTTCATGACGAAAACTTGCTAACGGATATGTTAATTTCACAGATTCATGAATGTATGCTAAGCAAGGTACCACCTGTTCCTCAACCGAGCCCCTCACAGGATTCCAAAGAGCATCCTTCAAACAGGGAAGGCGATGTTCAGGTGAGTTCCCAAAATGATGGAGCCACACCTGCTGGGGAAGCTGCTGCAGAAGGGTCTCCAAACCCAGCAGTAGGAGACAGGATTGTTGAAGAAGTACAGGAAGCCCCTTTGAATGGTAACCCAGGTCCTGAAGTAGCGAGGACATTGAATGCAGCTCCTTCCGGTGGATCAAGTCAGCTGCTACAAAGGCCAGAAATGAAAGTACAAAAACCGGCCGATGATCGCTTGTTCACTTGGGCTGCTGTTGGACTTACCATTGCAATTATGGTTCTTCTATTTAAGAAGTTTATGAAATCTAGCGGACATGGTGCTGTTTTCATGGATGGATCTTAGATTTAGAGATGATTGGTACTGCCTTGGTAACAGAAGATGCCTTTGCCTTATAGTAGCTAAAAGACATCTGTTTAAAGTTTTACATCTATTTGGAGAATTTGTGATCTATTATGATCGTCTTATTGTATACAATTGTAAGTAAACTTAACCTGTTTTGCATTTGTATGCTTGGTCATCCCAGAAACATATTCATGTCACAGAAATTGACAAATCTTTGATATATGAAAGTCTCTTTGATATATGAAAATTCTGGTGGCCAGTGACCACCTTCATGCATATGATGCATTTATTCATTTTGGCCAGACCTTGTAGTTAAGGTTACTTTTGTTTTCTCGAGTCTCAAATTACTATAATTCGTCCCCGCCTACGGATCAATCGAAATTTGTCATCTTATTTATTTTCAATTAACGTACTCGAAATTTTTCATCTTATTTATTTTCAATTAACGTACTCGAAATTTTTCATCTTATTTATTTTCAATTAACGTAATCATTTTCTCCAGTAACAAAACAACTATCACTAAAGACTTTGTTATATGGGCATAGGAAGTCAAAACGTGAACACCATGTTTTTGTTTGGCAACAGAGGTCCACGTGGATTTTTAGTGGTGCATATGCAGTCAGAAAATAGTATTATTTGATTCAAACATGTTTCCCTCGCGCTAAAATTAGCACAAGCCACTAATTATAATGCAGCATTGAAACACATCCGTTTTTCATATAACTATTCTAATTAATTGCACTTACAGCATAATTTGCATATCCCAACAAAAAATTAGTGGTTAGTAGACAATTTGAAGGGGATGATCTAGCGCAATTCCAGCATGACTTCAAAATGATGAGTTTCCATTATCCGTCTGCCTACATCAAACATATTAATTGGTTCAAAATGATGTGCAAGGGGAGATGATATCAGCAAGCAATTAGAGGCTGCATCATTTCTTGTATTGCCCTGTAACAATGAAGACTGCACAGAGGAAGCTTCGACTTGGAATCCCGATACTTGTATGCATTCGTGCAATTTGGACCGGCACATTTTTCACGTGGGGGAGGATAGCTAAATAACACAAATCATCACATTTACGTGCCAGTTACATGAAGCAAAAGCAACATTTAAAGATTAAAAACAAAAATTGGGGATGGTAAGAAGGAAGCAAATGCCGTACCTGCAGGGCACTGGACTGAATATACCTGGCAGACCAATATCATCAGAAAATGTAACGATCGTTCCGTTAGGACCAATGACCCATCGGACAGTGTTTGGTGCCAGTGTGACGGCACTGCCAGTCCTTCCCTGCATAATATTATAGTCAACACTGCATCATAACAAATTCAAACAGCCACGAGAAAAAGAAGAAAAATATTCTATAATTTCTCATATACCTGAATCAATTCATCCCTCTGCTGCTTCAGTTTTTCTTCCTTTTTCTTCTTCTTCGAATCTTGACCAAGTATCTTTCTGATTGCCTCAGCCTAAAAATTAGAAGTGAGACTGTTTCTACATTTGTCACCTGAGATAATATTATAAAACCTGATATAAAGGCCAAACCTCAGCTTCCCTAGCCGCCTTCTCTGACTGTACTTTACGTCTCTGTGTAGCCTCAGCTTTCTTTAATTGTCGTTCCACTTCAGAGACTTTTTCCTTTCCTGCGGTCAACCAGCCAACAGAAAAACTGAAAACAAGTTTAGTAAACATATGCATATAAATATAACCAGAATTACATGATAAACAAAGAGAGAAGATGCGCACTTTTAGATGGGGCAGGAAGCAAATCAGTTGCAAGTTCATGAAAACCTGAACCAGAGCCAGTTAAAATATCTTTTCCAGACTGGAGGGCACGGTTACGTGTAGTGGGGGGTGATTCTTTCCACCCTTGTAGAGGTAAACAAAGAGATTTCTTTTTCAGCTTCTTCCCATTTGGTTCAGGCTCATCATCAGATGCCAGTTCCTCTTCTTCCAAATAGTCTTTGTCCTCGTACTTTTTCTCTGATCTTGACTTGTTTATTCTATCTTTTCCCAATCTTAATGATTTATATTCTCCATTAGCATCTCCATGAAAGTCGTCATTCATTTGAATTCTCTCTGAACGAGCAACCTTAGAAGCACTTAGTCTTCCAAGGAACCGGATTTCCTCATCTTCATCATCATCTTCATTCGCATCTAAGATACATCTCTTAGGAACCCGCTTGCTCTTACGAACTGGTTCATTATCCATTGGAGCACTTTCCCTAAAGATTTTTCCTTTTGAAGAATACTCCTTGCTAGAACTAGAATCAACTTTCAAGTGGTCTTTGCGTTTAACTCCAAAGCCATTTCCCCCATCAGAACAGAAGGGGCCTCCACCTACATCATCCTGCATCAACAATATTACTAGACAAGCTCTCATCTAGGTGAAAAGTAAAATGACAAGGCATCCATATATTGGAAACATGAAAAACGGAACAAGTCACATACAATTTTTTCTAAAAATGGGGGTATTTCTTTCTCTAAAGTAACTTGTGAAATCAAAATAGCCATCATTGGACTAGAAACGTTTTAAAGAGTTCCTTGTCATTACAGTTGTGATTACACAGAAGAAAAATCAAATTCATTGGAAAATCAGACAGGTTGAAAAAATAAATTCCACTTATACAGGTTGTCCAGAATGAGACATATTAACAGTTGCAATAATTACAAGAATCAGAGTGAGGTACCTGAGGAAGGGGCTTCAGTTGGGGTGTGAAGGCATCGATCGAGCTTGAAGATTTAGTGACGGAAGAGCCACCACCACAGCCAAAATCTGCTGTATACTTGGTGTGGATTGTATGAGTAACACCTCCAAGCTTAAGCTTTAACTTCTTCAGCTTGTTCCCCCTTCCCAATCCATCAAAAATAACTACTTTCTCCTTATTATTCTGATCCTTATCAATATTTCCAAAGGGTGGAAAAATATTAGAGCTCTGTGAAAATATGGGGGGATCTAAGCGAGGTTTTTGTGCTACAACACTCCTCTTCTTCCTCACAATGCAACCTCCAGGTGAAAGCCCAGCTCCAACGAAACTTTCCATTTATGCGAAAATAGCTGCAGTGCTCTTATGCTTCTACCTCAAATATAAAAATAAATAAATAAAACAAATCCCTGGGTAAGAAATAAATAAATATGATAGCACAAATCTAATGGCACCAACAAGTGGTTTATGACAGAAAACGAAAAGCAGCAACATACTGAAGCTTAAATATTTTCATTGCCGTGGTTTCGCCATGGATTTTTAAGTTCTTTGAGACAACATTTTCGTTTCTAAGCAACCAAACGGAAAATTAAGGCCGCACCAACGTCCACTCTTACTCTACTTTCAATCTAAGAAGAAGAACAAAAAAAAAAGTACCTCCTTGCAATTTAGCTTCTTTTCTTGATTTGGTGCTTCAGATTTTCTGTCAAACCATTCTCCGTGGAAACGAACAGAGAATTGAAAAAGAAATGCGGAAACTGGAAACGAAGACGACATGAAAAGCACTTACTTACATTGAAGAAGGCAGGGAGTAGCACGAAGCATAAGTGAGGAAGCGAATAGAAACCCTAGGTTGCTGCAAAGGAAGACTCCAGGAGTTAATGCTCAGAGTGTGAGAGAGTGGAGTTTGCCATTTTGGGACTAGTTTTGGTAAAGCATGAAAATGGAACTCCATTATCTGCTTCATTTTCCTCCATTTTTGTTTTTCCTTCATTTAGTTAGCACAGTTTTTTAAGCAGGTCATATGTGCATGAACCAGTCATGGGCTTGTGGACAGGCCTCAAGCCCAAACAGAAAAGGTTGTTGAAGATAATAACCACCAAAGGTTTGAGACACCATTTCTTCTTGATTATTTGAAGTCCATATTATCTTAAATTTATTAAGTGGTGAAATATATGTGGATTTGATTAAGCGATTAGTATTTCAAAAATCTCATAACACAATCTTATAATAAGGGAACCGTTATTCGCCACTCCAGAAAAGTCATCATGCATTTCTTCAAATGTAATTTCTTCCTTATATTTTTACAAGAGACTTTTTTAAAGTGCCGATAAAAGCTCCCTAATGCAAATTCAAATATTCAAAATCCTTAGTTTGAATGCAAAGATGCAAATTTATGTGTATTTGCATAACATTCTTTCATAACCAAGTATATATATGTCTATACAAGTAATTCAAAAGGATACATGCTGGTACTTGTTTAACATATTCCTACATCTACTCTTCCCAATTTGCTAGCTATATATATTTGATGTTTCTCTTTTACAAATTAAAAGAGACAGCACAAAAGCAAAATGGAAGCAATTGAAGATTTATATATCATGATCACTTGATCAAGGAAGCAATGGCAAGGCAATTGCTGGCCATCTTGTGAAGCTTGTCATCATAATCCCCTAATGGAGAATTCTCTCCTTCAAACCCATCCCCGCATGTCACAGCATCTGTTACCACCCCACTGAGCATGCTATTGATCGTGCCAATGTCACGGCTCTGGATTGCATCCATTGCACTCTGAAGGCCATCCAAGGCATCACCGTACATGTCCTTGCAATCGCTGAGCGCAGCGGCTTTGCCACGGGCAATGTTATTCATCAGCGCAAGTTTTGAGGCCGCGGCTAGCGACAACTTGGCATGCGTCGTGGCTGCCTTGATTGTCATCTCAAGCACAGCTACAGGGTCCAGCTTGGGTACTAATGGTAGGAAAGGGGCCACAGATGAGACGCAAATATCAGGGTAGTCAGTGTTTTTGCATATTTGTTGGATTGCTGGGTTAGGTGGGACAAAAGATGAAGCTGATTTGGGATATGTAGACTGTGTAAAGAGGTTGCTGCGCGGGCTGTCTTTGGGATTATCAGAAGGGTGGCGAAGAAAGGATGTGGAGGAAGGTGAAAGAGAAATAGAATTGCCAGCAGGAGGTGGTTTTTCTGGAGGCTGTGAAGAAGGGTTTGGGGCTGATGCAGTACGGCTTGGTGGAGGACCTGCTGGGCGCCATGAAGGGAAGAATTGACCCGGCTGTGGCTTAGTAGGGGGCATAGCCGGCTGCGAGTTTGAAGGAGAATTTGGTGATGTAGAGGGAATAGTTAGGTACCTCAAGTTTAAATTCCGAGGCTTGCAAACGGCTTGTGCAAAGTTGAAGCAAAGGAGGAAGAAAAATAAGATGATGAGAGGTGATTGAGTATAGTACTTTGGCTCCATTGTTGTTTCTGATTGTTTGCAGGGTGGGAGAAACTAAAAGAGAAGAAAATGAAGGAATGAGAGCTTTTGAAAGAAGATTTATGTTGGGAGTTGGTTGGTTGGTCATTCATGCAGAGGACTACCATAGCTTGGTTTGCGGATTTTTTGGCTATGAATGGGATTCACTTCTTTTAGCTCATTCCTTTTCTCTTTTTCTTTTTTTCACCATTAGCTTTAGAATGAGAGGACTGCAATTCAATCTCCTATAATAGGTGGATGGTCTCTATTTTATCTCTCTCTCTCTCTCTCTCTCTCTCTCTCCGCATACTGCAAAACCTGATAAAGGCTAATCTTCTAAATGATCTACAGTTTAAGCTCTTCAAATAAAAATAGAAAGTGGACATTCTAAAATAAAGGGAGAAATTAATGTTGACGGTTAAGCAAACATGGATTGGTCATCTTTGGCCTTTCTTGGTATTGCTTTGTATTAATCAGAGCATGGAATGGATTGTCAATCCAAAAGCTTTAGTTTTTTTTTAGGTTTTTTTTATACAAGGAATGCCGGGGAGGGCGAGAATCGAACCTAGGACCTACAGTCCAAGGTAAATGCTCTTAGCCACTTGAGCTACAAGCCCCTTGCACACATGGGTAAATACCCTCTCTTCCAAAAGCAAAAGAAGCAAAAGACTCTTCCCCTGAAGTTCCAACCCAGGTGCATGGCAACTGAGAAACCTTGTATACAAGTTTAATTAGCCCTTGAATTCTAAGAACAAAATCACCATCATCGGCCACAAGCTGAACTCACATATACATACATGAAATCTGTCCAACTTCAAGATACAGTAACAAAACAGTTGAAAACATAATTTTAACTAAATCTTATGCAAACTAAAAACGGCTTGCAGTTGCAGGAAAGGAAGCAATTGAACCAGAGGCAGCATTGCACTTATTTGCCAAGCAAGGCATTGGGGGACAAAGAATTTAGCTTTCCTGGTCCGCATTGTTCTTCACTACAGTAACCGGACAGGAAGCATTATTTACCACAAAGTTGCTGACACTGCCCATGATGACTCTGCAAAACAACAAACACATCCAGATCCAATCAAAACACAAAAGAAATTAGATGAGGATTTTTAAATTTTAATTATCCAAAGTGGTTTGATTCAGAAACCCACGTTTCATAACAGTACAAACAGTATAACTCTGAAGAAAAGTCTATGGTAGCCATTAGATTATTATTGCCATCATAGGCCCCAAGAAGTCAATAGGAACTTGATAACCAAAGAAAGCAGCCAACCACGAACTGGAAAACAATGGCAGCCTCCCTCAACCAAACTCAAAAATTCCAAAACAACAAACATGTTGTTTTAACACAAACTCAAATTCATGCATCAAAAAATAATTGATTTGAGTTTGTGATTGGTACCTCTTGAGCTTGCCAAGGCCTCTGTTTCCAATAACAAGGAGGCTCAAGGGAACCTTGTCAATAGCCTCAATGATCTTCTCACGGGCATCGCCCCAGTAGATCTTCATCACCACCGTAATCTGCTCCAAATCACAAGGTCACAAAACACCACTTCATTATTCAATTGTGCAAGAACATCATTGAAACAGAGCTCAAGTAGTATGATGAGCTGAATAATTAATAAAACCAAGATGCAGCCAACCTCTTTCTGCTTAGCCGCAGTGCTGGCGATGTCCAAGGTTTCAGGGTCAGGATTCACTTTATACTTCTTCATAACGTTGGCATCAGAGAACTCAACCACAGGGATCAAAGCTGCAAAGTGAGTCAATTTATCATGCATCCACTCATAACAAACAAAATCCAGAAATCAAAATTAAAACTTTAAACCAAATAAGCGAAAAAAAAACAGAAAAGTTTCAAACTTTAACCAGAAAATCTTGATCAGAGCTGACAATTAACAGAGGAGAGAGAGTTAATTATAAAAGATCTATAAATTTATATGACACGGAGAGAGAGAGAGAGAGAGAGAGGGCATACGGGAACCGGTGACTCCCCAGAGCTGCATCTCGCCTTGCTCATAGTTCTCTTCAGGACGAACGACGACCAGGATGAGGAAATCGCCCTGCCGGGCAACGTTGTCCACTGTCCATTTCAGGGCTGCCCGGCTGCCCGCCGAGAAATCCACCGCCACTCCAATTCTCCTTTCTCCCATCTCTCTCTGTGTTTGTGGGATTTTTTTGATCTGAAAAGTTGGTCAGAAGAAAGAGCACCGAAAGTTCAAAGGGTGAGAAAGAAGAGCTCTTTATGCAATTGGCTATGGCCACCAACATGATAGAAAGTTCAAAGGGTGTGTAGTGATGTGATGTGCCACTTGTTGTGATATTTTGTTAGTTTATGTGAACCGTTGGATGGTTCTCTGGGTGGGGTCCTGAGGCTTGTGATGACCATCCGACGGTAGATGTTTAGGAGATGTGGTGCTCATGTGATGGATAGGAGGTTTAAGTCTTCGCTTTGAATAATGAGCATAAGACACGACAGAGTAATGCCCGAGTCAAATATGCAAAGGGTACGTGTAATGCTCTGCGTGTCACTCTGTCTGTCGGGTCTGTTGGCCCCAAAATGCGAGCAAAAAACAAATGAAAATCTAGACAGTTGAAAAGTAAAACGCTTCATTAGATGGGATGGCTTGATTCCTTTCATAAGATTGAGCTTGAAGACAAGATACAACTTGATCTAAAGGCTTTACCGACTTTTTTTTTTTTTTTTTTTTTTTTTTTTTTTTGGGGGTTTGATGTTTGATTATAATGTTTGTTTATTAACGAAATTTATTTTGGAAACCACTTGCATCGCGTTTATTTATTTCATTTGTGAGAGGCGTCGTCAATAATGTGATTAGTAAATACGATATATTTACATTATATTTTTTGTAAATGCTATGTTGTTTAAAGTTATAATGCATTATTTATTGTTCAGGCTATATTAAAGAAATATTGAACCCAAAATCAATCATTGTGAAATCATATTATTAATTAATTATTGAACAATCATATAATATATAAATGTGGTTTCATCAAGTGTGTATAGATTAGGGGTTGGTTGTTCTAAACATGGTGGAGAGCAAAGGAGAGTATGGAAAAGCAAGCTCCAACAAAGGTGAGAAGAAGAAGCAAAATTGCAACAACGAACACCATAACTGAAGTTGGAGTTTTGAGATGTGTGTCCAAATTCTGCCGCTTTTCATGCCAACTTTTGCTTTTGTATTCAGCCACTTCTTGAAAAAGCCTCTCATAGTAGAAATCCATCGGCTTGATCTCCTTGCAAAGCTTCTCGAACATTTGAAAAACCTCTTTATCCTTCTTCTCATCGTGGATGAGAATCTGTCTCCGCCGAAGTAATTTCACATCCTTCTCGGAGGTGATGAGGCACCCCATGAGGAAGGCATAAGATGTGACATGCTGTATGGTATCATCAAGCTGACGCTGCTCAAGTGCAATGAGGTTCCTAAGAAGTGTTTCTGTGCAATGATGGACTTCAAGAGGTGGGATTTTGAAAACACCATGAGCAAACTTGATGTCCAAGAAACTATGGCTTGTAGCCGTCTTGAATTTAATGCCTGCACTTTTAAGCTTTTTGGCACAATCCAAATTTTTAGGAGGCACATCTTCTTTCCGATGCAATTTCGGATATGTTGGGAGGATACAATGCCGAATTAGATCAAGTAAATGATACCCTTCTTGATTGAATTTGTCTTTGATAACATGCTCATCATCTCCTGGTATTATTCTTCTGTAGAACCGGGACGCGAGCTCATTGAGTGGCTCGTTGCATTTTGGAGGAAGTGGTACTAATTGAAATAGCCTTTGAACAACAAAGAAAGGAATTTGGTTTTCTAGTAATGCCATGTCACATCTCAGTTCGAAAAGCATCCCAGGCTTGGTGAATATAGGGTCTCTCCGGGACCTAAGGCTCTTGTAGGCAAACTTCAGAAATAGCTCAATGATGAAGCAGCCATCAATTAGCAACACTTGAACAAAGTCATCACTGCTGCTGATATCAATCTCTCCCTCATAGCATCTTCGTGCTTTGTGCTCCAACTCTCGAAGAGCTTTCACGCAGATGCTTAAGGTTGCTTCTAAATTCGGTTTTCGATTGAGGAGTGCGTAACAATAGCGCCACTTATCATCTTGCGGCACTCTAGTCTGTTTTGCACGGTGCAAAGGACCAATGGAAACATGATCAGGAGTATATTTCTTTTCGTTATGCTCGCGAAGTTCCTTGGGGACTCTGAAGATACAGACTGATACAGCAATGTTTTCCATCTTTTCCTTGATAGAAGATACAAGTTCATCATGCTCAGGAGTGATTTCAATCGAGACATGGTCTCCTAATTGTGGCTGTCTCCCTGATATCTTGTTGTTTTCCATCTTTCAAAGAGAAGTTGTGGTTTGCTCTATGCAAAAAAGAAAAGCCCTCAATTTGAGTATTGGGAATTCTCAACAGAAAATGCAATGCCATTCTTCTCTAGATGAATACAAGCATGATACAGAACTAGAGTCTCATATGTGCACTATTCATATTAACTTTTCTCTTTCTCCGGGGAGAAAAAGGTTTTTAACAAATTCCTTTACTTTGGTTTCACAATGTTGGTATAAAACCTTGAAATAGCACAACAATTAGGCAAAAATGGGTAAGGAGGGTCTGGTATTGTTTATCAAATAAGCAGCAAACATAAGATATCTTAATTTAAATGTAATGGACGTAGTGTCAGTTTAACATTGCTTATTTATAGTGATAAGTGATTTTTTTTAAAAATTTGGGAAGCTCAGCTCGTTTGGTAAACCATAAGAAAATTACTTATTGTTAAAAATTGCTGTGAGAGAAAGCTATAATGGAAAGCAGTTAATGATGTGCTTTCATTTTCTGATTATGTAGGAATCAGTTTTGAAGAGGCGATGAGTTTAATGATTATGCAACAATCATTTTCTGATTATGCAGAAATCAGTACCAACAACACTTTTAACAAAAAGTTTACCAAACATCAAACTGGTTTCTCTCACAGTAAATCTGACAGTGATTATTTTCAAAGCACAGCAATGCCAAACTGGCATGTAGTAAATGTGGTAAAGTCTTGGATTTGTTCTTCGAAATATTTCGTTATATACCCATTCTTAGCACTAGTGATATAGATAAACCTTACACCATTTAATTTCTATAAATAAACCCAAAAAATTACAGTTAACCCTATTGAATTTAATTTTGGTTATTAAATTACTTTGATGTCTTATTGAGTATTTTGGGTTTATGAGGTTTTTGGTTTGGGGTTGTTTTAAGAAATTGATAGCAGTTTTGTAATTTTTAGGAAATTTGAAGCCTCTTTGTTATGTTGTAAATGGTCTTTTGGTGTGTTTCTAAAGTTTATTTTACGAAGTTTTTTTTATAAAAAAAATTTAGACGCTATATTAGATATAATATATTTAATGTGAGCTGATTTTCTCACTTCCCTTTTCTCCACTTATACTCATTTTTGCTTTTTAATACTTTTTAAATCAATTTTATTCTTTTTTGTTCTTTCTCTTTCCTATTCTACCCTTACCCTACATTTTCTTCTGCTCCCATATCCCAATATGCCTAAATTAGCCATGGAAACCACACCTTAAACAACTCCTAATTTTCACTCACTCTGACCCAATTGCAAAAAAAATTTCCCTTTGCTTCTTTGTTCATTTCAATAGCAGCTTGCCACATTTTTTCCATGGCCACCTATGCTTCCAACATGATTTGCTATCCACACCCATAAAACCCAGTAATCAATGGATTGAGAAAAATCCATCACCTCAATTTCTTTTACTTCACTCTTATATTATTTCTTTTTACTGAACATTATCTTTAATATGGATGAGATTGCTGAAAAATCAAAATTTTTAATGTCGAGGTAATGTTATTGATATTAACCAAAAATTGATATTTGTTCTATTATAAGTGAAGAAGATATGATGACTGGTTATTGGGGGAAAAAAATTGGTGTAAAAAATCAAGCAATTAAGCATAAAGTACTCATGCCATATCCATATATTTTTTTTTTTTTTTTTTTTTTTTTTTAAAACATTCGAAATTACCCTTCTGAGATGCTTTTGATGATAATAAATCAACATCTCAACATAATGTACCTGTTCATATAGATTTACAACCTAAGCATGGAAAATCACAACATTTTTTTTATACAGTAATTGAGTGAGACCAACTTGAAAAGCTAAAGTCAGGAAAACCCATTTTCTTGATATACAAAATGAGTGTTTCTCTGACCTGCAGGCAGAACAAACAGATGCCACAGCAGAAACTATTATTATATTTGGCTCTTACAACTTGGATGGAATAATTCCAATATAATGTACCTTGTTCATATAGATATACATTCATGGCAAACATTTCTAAGACAGAATATACAGAGAAAATAATAGCAGAATGGTTCAGGAATCAGTGTACCTTGCTGTAATCAACAGGAAAATGTAGCTGAGCTGCTTAGATGAGGCTATTTTGCCCAGTCATTAGCATTTCCATTGTTTTCACAACAAAACTTTATGAGCGTTTCATGGTTGCAGGAAACCAAGGAGCTATTTATATGTAAGCCCAAAACTTTCACAACTAATAAAAGAAGACTCAGCTTGTGGAGGACCAAAATCTGGGTGGAAATTTTTACGATACAGGAATCAATGTTAACTTGAGCAGTTTGTCATACAGACCCAAAACAGAATGCAATGAATTACAAGGAACTGCAGTCTGCAGAGCAGTATTCCTTTTGAAAAAAGAAATGTGAACACCAGAGCATAGCTTTGTCCAAAGATAAAGCTAAATATAATTGCTTAAAAGTAAATTTAGGTATTAGTTATAGTAAATTCACTGTGGCTTTAAATATGAACGCATCAACAAGGTCTCTCTCTACTTCGTTAGCTTTTTGTTTTGGCTTAATGTCATGAGCCTATTGAGGAGAAACACCGGTATGAATCGGAGATAACAATGTTTTGCTATTTCCAACCAATTACGGCATGCTATGTTTTAACATGATGATCTGTAAGAATATGATTAATTAATAAATAATTCTTGTAATATGATGAATTTCCGTTCACTTTACTTATAAAAATTTTAGTGGTATTTTTATGTGTGAGAAGATATCCAAAACTATAGGAATGAAAATAAATGTAGTATGCATAGAATTCAATTCCAGTATATAGATTCGTACCCTTAAAAAAAAACAGTATGTAGATTTTAGATATCACGTGCCATGCCATGGGATGTCACGTGATTGATCGGATATACACGAGAAGTTGTCTAAAACTAAACTAACCACCCCTCGTTTCTCTCCCTCACTTCAGTTCAGTCTCAGTCTTCATTTGTAAATTTACATCATTATCTGAGGAGATCAAGTCTTCAAGACGCCATCTTGGCCGTACATATTAAATTTCTCGACGAAGAAAGTGGAATACCCAATAAAAAAGTAAAGTCCGATCCAAAGCCAAGTCCGAGAATCTGTTTCCATTGCTTTTGTTTTTGTTCTGTTTTCATTTTTGTTTTCTTTGAAAACAGAAGAAAGAAACAGAAAACGCAACTTTACCCATCTGTCTTCTCTTGAGCACTGTCTCTGATTCTCATTTGCAAGAACACTATAGGGGTTCAGCAGAAAAAAGGTTTTTGATTTGTGTTCTGCTTCGAAACGATGGCGTTTTGGTGGCCTCTGCTCGTCCTCGGATTCGCTTACGCCATTTGCAAATTCCTCTTTATGCTCATTCCCCCTAATGTGCCTTCCATCGAAGTCGATGCTTCTGATGGTACCTCTCTCTCTCTCTCTCTCTCTCTCTCTCTCTCTCTCTCTCTCTCTCTCGCCATTTATATGTATTGGTGATTGATTGGCGCGGTTTAATCAATGGCAGTGTTGGATGATGGGAACCAGACGCAGGAGAATGGTTTCATATATGTGAGTTTTTTCTCAAAACTTTTGTCTTTTGACTGTAATTTTTATTAAAATATGTATCTTTTTGTAAGCATTTCTCTTCAATTCTTGATTGTAGTTAAATTCTTTGCATTTGTCGATGTTACTTACTTTCTTATCAGTTAAACTTAGCTAATTATAGTTGTGGGTGTACTTAAATTGCTTATTATTACATTAAAATTTGCTTTTCACTTTGTACTGTTTCTTGCTAGTTTATGGGTGCTTAAGGGTATTACATTGTTTGAGTTGTATGAATGTGATCATGTGCAGCATCCAGTTGGCTGCCTCTCATTGGTGTTTAATGTGCAGGTACCTCCGAGGGGAAGGACACCGCAAGCTGATACAAAGGTTCAGTGCTATGAACCTGCAACCATGAAATACTTGGGATATTTCCCTGCACTGACACCAGATGAGGTTAGTCATGTTATGCATGTTTGGATTTGGGGAATGGTGAATTGAATGTGTAGGAAACTGTTATATTGTACTTCTCTTTGCTGTTTGGCATTAAAATGATGAACTTGATTTTGTGCCTACATAGCGCCTGGTTTGGCATTTTGGCACAGAGCTCAAATGATATATCACAACTATTGGGAAATTCGCTTTGTAAATGTGTATTCTCAGGTCAAGGAGCGGGTAGCACAAGCAAGGAAGGCACAGAAAATATGGGCAAAGAGTAGCTTCAAGCAAAGACGCCAGTTTCTCCGGATTCTTCTAAAGTATATAATTGAACACCAAGAGCTTATATGTGAGTAAGTACTCTATTCCTCTCTCTCTCTCTCTCTCTCTCTCTCTCTCTCTCTCTCTCTCTCTCTCTCTCTCTCTCTCTATGCATGAGCTCTATGCATGAGCCTGTGCATGCTAATTTGAAATCTATTTTTCATCCTTACTGTGATCTGAAGTATTATGTAGGGTTTATCTTTTGTTAAAAAATTAGTAATCTATTTACATGGATTCCACCTTTATCGTCTTTTTCTATATTATTTTGTGTGCTTACATATACCATTTTCGTTAGAATATCTTCACGTGATACGGGGAAGACGATGGTAGATGCCTCTCTAGGGGAAATAATGACAACATGTGAGAAGATCACTTGGCTCCTTTCAGAGGGTGAGCGTTGGCTAAAGCCTGAATACAGGTATTTTCTTGTTCCTTATTGCATTTTCTATATCTTATTTAATCACTATTAATTCAACTGACATAACAAGGTGTTGTGACGTATATCTTGTTGTCTTGATACATCTCAGTGGCAATCTACATTTTAATATTTGCATTGCTTGAGCTCTTCTACTGTACTCTTTTCTGGATATGCACCCTATCATTAAATAAGTTTTACCGTTTCTTATCCAATTTTTGGTTTTCTTTCCCGATAAAGAGTGTTTACCTTTCCTTGCTTTTCTCAATACTGTATTGTGATTATATTGTTCATGAACAAAATTTCAGATGTTCTGGAAGGTCAATGCTTCACAAGAAATCCAAAGTGGAATTCCACCCGCTTGGCGTTATTGGTGCCATTGTGTCATGGAATTATCCTTTTCATAATATCTTTAATCCAATGCTGGCAGCAGTTTTTTCTGGAAATAGTATTGTGATTAAGGTAGTTATTGTTGGAATGTCACTGTTGTTTACTTTAATCACTATCTGTACTTTGTGTCTTTCATCAGAATTAGACACCATTGCACCTGTTTTATATCCGTTGTAACTCATTCCTTTCAGTTTTGGTAGCTGTTGTTGGTTGTGTGGTTTGAGGCTATGTATCATTAAAAAACTGGCTGCTTAAAAAACTGGCTTCTAAGGATTTGTTGTAAAGCTTGTTTTGTTAATTTACCGTAAACTTGTAATTGTAGGTTTCAGAACATGCAAGTTGGTCTGGTTGTTTCTACTTCCGAATAATCCAATCAGCCCTTGCTGCTGTAGGAGCACCTGAAAATCTAGTTGACGTCATTACTGGGTATTTAATTTTTTATTTTTTATTCTTTTTTGGGTGGGATTTCTCTCTAGTCTTGTTTATTTTTCTCCCTATAATCAAACCTTTTTCCTCACTAGATTTGCTGAAACTGGAGAAGCGCTGGTGTCTTCTGTTGACAAGATAATATTTGTCGGATCACCTGGTGTGGGTAAGATGGTATGGTCTTCTTTTGGCTGATTGGTTAGATTTCTTGTTTTTGTTTAATTCCTGAAACATGCTTCTTACTTCCAAACTTCTAATCCTTCTTTCGCTCTAATAGCTCTCAAATTATTAGTTAATTTGTTTCTTTTGCTCCAAATATTCTGAAAGTTAAACCCTAAACTTAAGCCCTAAAACCCGACTGTGCAGCCCTAGATTAATAGCCCTGGCCTAATAGGGAAAAAAAACTTAAGAAAACAAAAAAAAATATAGGCCATTTGATCTAAGCTCTCACTTTCCTCGTAAATTTTGATAAGTTATGAAGAGTATAAAATTCTGGTTAAATCATACATTAGAAATGATTTTAACTGAATTTTTCTGTTTTTCATCTATTACACAAGTTTTATTTCAGTAGTAAATTTGGATACATCATGTCATTTTTGAAATTATTATGTCTGCAGATAATGAGAAATGCTGCTGAGATGCTTATACCAGTTACACTAGAACTTGGTGGAAAAGATGCATTTATTGTTTGTGAAGATGCAGATGTGGAACATGTATGAATTTTTCCCACCTTTACTAGTGTTTTATGATGTCTACCATGCTTGGACATTCAATTGGAGAATGACATTTTGAATTAGATTGTTTTTGTATTCTTTAACACTATGTGACCTAATAGGAGACTAAACTACTCAATTTAGGTTGCCCAAATTGCTGTGAGAGCTGTTCTTCAGTCAAGTGGACAGAACTGTGCTGGGGCTGAGAGATTTTATGTTCATGAGGACATTTATTCTTCATTTGTCAGCCAAGTTTCCAAGATTGTAAAATCTGTTACTGCTGTAAGTATGCCCCTTCATCATGTTTTTTATTATAAGGAAGATGAATCTAACTACTTAATGTTTAAAATTCATGATTCTTTCATTTATCTTATTTTCTAGGGTCCACCACTTGCTGGAAAGTATGATATGGGAGCTATATGTTTGCAAGAGCACTCTGAAAGGCTTCAAAACCTTGTAAATGATGCCTTAGACAAAGGAGCAAAATTTGTTGTTCGGGGAAGTGTTGGCCATATAGGTGAAGGTGCAGTTGATCAGTTTTTCCCACCTACTGTAATAGAAAATGTAAATCACACGATGAAGTTGATGCAAGAGGAGGTAGCGAAAGTCGTATAGTTGGTTCAACATAGCATTTTCACATGTACCTTTAATCTTCAATTAGTTACATGGTGAAATTCTTTCTACATTTTTGCAGGCATTTGGACCAATCATGCCAATAATGAAATTTAGCACTGATGAAGAGGCTGTCAAGCTTGCTAATGACTCAAAATATGGACTTGGCTGTGCTGTTTTTTCTGGCAGCCAGCGTCGTGCAAAAGAGATAGCTTCCCAGATACATTGTGGAGTTGCTGCAATCAATGATTTCGCATCAACATACATGTGTCAGGTAATAATTTTTTCAAGTGGTCGGCAGCTGATAATGTGTCTTGTTTCTCCTTTTTTTTTCCTCTTTCTCTGGGTCTTTTAAAGTCTTATTGGGCCTGTGGGGTATAGAACTGGAGGTAGCCCTCTCCAATCTCATAAAACCCCTCAAACATTGGGGAAGGTGGGAGTCTATCTCAGGGCTCATGCAAGAGACTTTACTGATATTTTTTGGATAGACGAGAGACTTTACTGACTTAACTAGATGATACATTGTTTCTTCTTTTAATAATGAACTATGAATAATTTCCTGCTTTAGAGATAGCAGAAAGACTGGATGTGAACTTATTCTAAAAAATTAATGTGATCATTGATTTGTTTTTCTTTTTATGAAGAGAAAGAAAATGCTTTCATTGATTAGATTAGACAGTTTTTCTTTTCTGAGGTCTGAATTAGACAATTCAGCGATACAATATGAAGCTGATATCATATATCTCAAAGAAATGCTTTCCATTCATGAATATTCTTCAGAACACAAAAGAATTTTACTGCCATATTAATCAGAGATCGCTTTAGTTCAAGCGTATCCTCGTTGAAACATCACTCATTATTATTTCTTTTAATGAAAGATTTTATATCATGGTGACATTGTTAATCCAATGAACTAAAGATGTCTCATGAATTTCCAGTCCCTGCCATTTGGCGGTGTAAAAGACAGTGGATTTGGAAGATTTGCTGGTGTAGAAGGATTGCGAGCTTGTTGTCTTGTAAAGTCAGTTGTTGAGGATAGATGGTGGCCATACATTAAAACCAAGATACCAAAGCCTATTCAGGTCAGATTTCAAAACTAAACTGTAATGTCATCTCATCTCTCTCTGTGTCTCTGAAATTCTACAAATCTGGCTGATTTTCTTTCTTGACCAACTGTAGTATCCTATTGGGGAGAATGGTTTTGAGTTCCAGGAGTCACTTGTTGAAGCACTCTATGGCATGAACATTTGGGACCGTTTGCGAGCATTGGTTAATGTTCTAAAGATTCTTACAGAGCAAAACTCTCCTGCTAACAGTAAGAGAAGAGATGACTGAGTGGAGCACATGAGGATTGGAACATTTCATCAGTTAACCGAGTTCTAATATATTGTGGATTTTGACTTCCCATAGATCTCAGAATCATGGCTATTGTTGAGCATCAACCTAATGGCGTCTGTTTTTCCTTCTGGTTCTTTTTTAGTTACAGAATGCTTCTGTGTCAAATGTCTTGTCAAATCCTTTCAAGGAAATTCTGATTTTGAATATAGAACAGAGTTTTGTTTGAAGCAATGATCGCGGCTGGTATTTTGAGTCTCTCTAAGACTTGTAGAAATATTGATTTTGTAGATTCTTTTGAACAACTATCGGGTCTCCGGGTTCCCGGTTGGTATTTTTCTGTTTGGGATTAGACGTTTTAGTTTGGGGTTTGGGTCTTGTGGAGAGTTTTGTGTTGGCCAAAACCCAAACCTCAAACTGGTAAACCTCGAAGTCAAGCCGTGAAACTCGAAAACGCAAACCCCAAATGTCAAATCCCAAAACCTCTAATGCTTAACTCGAAACTCCAAATTCCAAACCCAAAATCTAGAGATGTTTGCTCTCTTGAATAATTAACAACATTCCAAGCAACCAAAATAAGAATATACGAGTACAATGATAATAGCATTGATATGTTGATTAGCCAGGGCTGTTTTTGGAACATTGGCCTAGAAATGAACCCTAGAATTCTCTTGGATCGACAAACACATTACCTAGTTGTCCCTTCAGCAGCAGTTCATCTTTTTCATCAGCGTGGCTAATCAAGCTTTTCACATACCAGACATCATTGATACATGACATATTGGAATCCTTGGGGACATGCTTTATGAGAGGATCGCACAACCCCAGCTCAGTTAAAATCAACTTGCTGTCCTTCACATTTTGTCCCAACCGTGATGCGAAGTTCCACACAGATTTCATGAGCTCCCCGAGCTTCTCTCCCTCTCCGTGAATCCCGTAGAGAAACAGAAACCCGAAGGAGCTCTGCATGGAGACACGGACAGGCAATTTTAGGCAGGACAATATTTTCTCCCTTGCATGGCTTAGGGAAGCATGAAAAGACCTTAGTGGATGAGACTTTCTTATATGAAGCTTGTAAGCTTCACATGTATTCCATATGCTAAAGATTACCCAAGAGCTTTGAGTTTTACTGGTGATGTCCTTACCATTTTCCTCGGTGTTTAAGTTGATCCAACCCTGTTCTTCGAAATAGCAGACCCAAGTGCCGAGGCTCAGCTTCTCCTTCAAGATCACATCGATGTCTGTCGGATACATGTCTTTGCCTTTTAGCTTATTTTTGTACAATAAAATTGCCTGGTCTATGTGCAGCTTCTCTATTTTTATCTCTTGGGGAAGCAGATCATCAATAGGGGAACAAATTGGCTGAACAAATATGACTAGTGAGCTGAGGTTCACATAATTGCATTTGAAAGTGAAGAGATTAGTAGAGGCGATGTTGCTCTTTTCGGTTGCCAGGAATGTGTACTGTGCTCCCTTCCTCAGCAGCCACTCCTCCACTGAGTTCATGAGTTTCAATCCAATTCCCATCCGCCTAAACCAGACAAACATATAAAAGTTAATCCATCATAAAAGAAATTCTGTATATTTATACTTGAGATCTGCTAGAACTTATTAATCTTATGCTTATTTAGATCATTTAGCTTTTCCAATATGCTGCAACTCAGTTCAGAAAGAGTCAGAGGTTTTACACTCAATTTCAGCAGATTGTATTGGCAATTCAGAAATGAAAACTTGTTGCTTAGAGAAGAAGATTTCTTCCAAACTCCATTCCATCTGATAAACAAAGTGGAGAAATACCTGTGTGTAGGAGAGACGCGAAGGCCTAGTACACAACCTATCTCATAGCTTGCCCCAAAACCAGTGCCTACATGCTTCATGCATCCTCGAACCACTCCAACAAGCTCCCCGTTTTCGAGCAGCTCTGCTACCTGTAGGCCATTTTAATGCAATGATCATTTTACATTAATAAACTCCAGAGGGGGACAGGGGTTTCCATATAGAAAAGCAGTACAAAATAATATAGAAATCATGCAAATGTTATTGCTTATTGGAGGAGACATAAAAATGATTATGAGATATGAAAAAGTGACCCTAACCCACCAACATAACATGAAGGGGGTAGAACCTAATCCTACAACAAGGGTCACCCATCATGTTAGTGAAAATGGTGACCCCCCTTTTAGACCCTAGGTCACAGTTCCTCTCTAGCTTCCCCACCACTTCACTATCTGTGTCTGCATTGAATTCCCTTATAAGAACCTTGTTCTCTGCACTGTCAACCATGTCTTTTTTTTTCTTTCTTGCTAAAAGAAGCAAAGTTATAAGATTTGAAGTGGAGAACAATCTTCAATTTGGTTTGCTGCCACAAGTGCCTCTTATTGCATTCTTATACGCTAGGCTAGGTTAACTACCTATGTTATAATTTGTTTTTTCTTTTCTTTTCTTTCTCTTTTTTCTTTTTTTGTGGCTGGTTACTTCTGTCAGCAGTCTCAGTACCATAAATCACATTGGACCAGAACTTGATGCATTCATAATTCATAAATAAATAAAATACCTGCTATCTACATGAGCTGCACCAGAAAAATGGAACAATGATATTGCAAAACGATTCGGGGAATATTTGTAATCATTTCTGTATTCTGTGTTTTTTGCTGTACATTTTGTGTGCCCATTTATTAGTTTCAGATCAGGTGCTAGCTGTTGTTTGAAACTAGTCTTCCCATTCATTATTGTGGGTTCAGTGTCCTTTAACCTTTGCTTCAACAATTACAGCATGCATTATGTATGCGTATATATATCTAACATGGGACAGTTCCTGGTAACTGGTGGTTCCAGTTTGAAAGTAAAAGAAGAAATTAACTGTCTGACAGGACCTCTAGGACTAAAAACAGCAAGTGCAAGAATTATTACTTGAGCTTTCAACATGATAATGAGTAGGGGGTCAGATTTCCTTTAACTGTGCACCACAATCACAAACCAAAGTGTGAATCGGTGCCAGAAGGGTTCCAGAAATATGTGTTTGAAGTTGTGAATGAGCTTGTTTTCAGTACAAGTTTACATGACCAAGCCTCACTTAGTTTCACATGGTCACACTCTTGGTTTTGGTGGTTTCCCATTATTGATTACACCGCAACATTCTCATGTTTTAGTGCAACCCCACCTCTACTTTCACCACCACCTAGCTTACAAGGTTTTTTTTTTTGTTCGAAGGGTTTAGCAACATTTTCGTATTGTTCAGTTTTACACTGTTAAATTGTTAACTCCAACTATATGTCAAATTCATGTAAGATTTGACTACTCAGTTGCAATAATTTTATCTTCATTCTTGTCATTTCATGTTCACATACTAATTTGACATATCAGTTAAAGATGCTTTAACACATCTCTAAACTTATGCCAATTTGAAACACCACATAGGATTTGACAACTCAGTTTAAATAATTTTATCTTTAATTCTTGTCATTTCATGTTCACATGTCAATTTCACATATCAGTTAAAGATGCTTTAACACATCTCTAATCTTATGCCAATTTGAAACACCATTTTCTATACGTTTGAGAGATTCATGAGCACAAAAGCTTATAACTTGTTTTATTCACATGTTCAAATAATTTGTGATGCATAAACATAAGTAAATGAATTAATGTAAAAATAAATTAAAGTAAAAAGACAAGACATTTACTTAAAGGGTTATTTACTCAAATGGTGCTCACACTTAAACCGAAGTTGCATTTTGGTCCCTCAATGTGTATTCAATGTAGATTTTAAAAATCTCTGGGGGCAAACAAAGATTTTTCATGGCCTAAAATTATTCTATAATCAAACGAAATCCACCACTTTCTGTATTTCCTTTGAAATCAATGAGTTTTTTTTAATACAACCAAACTTTTATGAAGTCTTTTAAAGTCGTGATTGAATACATCCAAATTTGAATGGAGTTTAAAAAATTTCAATTGAATACACCCAGAATTATATAGACTTCTATAAAATCGTGATTGAATACACCTGAACTTTTAAACTTCTTCAAATTATGATAGATATATTATTTTTATTCTCAAGATCTGATTTCATCACTTCTATTACCACCATCTTATCATGGCTATCACCACCACCATAGTCATTGTCGTCGCAGCCACCACCCCCAGCACCACCATCGCCACATCCACTGCCACCCACGGCCACCCTCACTACCACCCCAACCACCATCACCACCACCCTTACCCCCACCTCCACCACTACTACCTCCCCTACTATCAGCTCCATCATCACCCCACTATCACCACCACCATAGCCATTGACAGCATCATCACCATCACCGCCACTGTCACCACAGCCACTCCCACCACCACCACCTCAACCACCTCACTCCTACCACTACCACCCCTACCTTCTCCACCACTACCTCCCCCACCATCACCCACAAACCACCATCGCCACTGCCATCGCCATCACCACCTCCTAAACCCTTTAGGTTTTAGTGCTATAAACTCCATTAAAATTATTTAATAAAACTATAACAAACTCAGTTAAAATCTATACACGAATTCAATTAAACTCAATTAAATTCAATTAAACTCCATCAACTTTATAACTCTTTAATCATTTAAAATTTAAATTGAATACAACTTCCTAAATTATTCATTCAAATAGTCCACCAACTTTTATTAATCAGCACATTGGTCCTACCATTACACTCAATCAATATTGCCACTAATTTGAGGTTAAAATCGTCAATTTATACTAAAATATTAATTAATTAATTAAAACAGAGATAGAGGGAGGACTTAGAGGGGGTGGGCAGTGGGTGTAGGCTGGGGCTAGTGGTAGGGGTGACTCTGCCTTCTTCTATTCTCCCATCAATTTCTTCATTCTCTTAATTAAGAACATATAAAATAACAAGTGATAAGTAAAGCAAGAAATATCCCCTTCATCTCATCCCATATATATATATATATATATATATATATCCTACAGAGCAACAAAAGAGAAACTAATTTTTTCTTTTTCCATTTTTGCAACTCCAGCGAGAGGAATCCAATACCGTAAATTGATTAAGGCACCCATGTGCCTTCTCCCTCAATCCTTTGCTCCCATTTCTTACGATTTAGCGGTGCAACAAGCCCGCTCCACCATTATAACCTGTCACGGAGCTCAACACGTGCTGCCACTTTGGCTATCGAAGTCGGAGAAGTCATGTCTGAATGAAGCCGCCGTTGATGTCATCTCTCTCTCACCGACTAGTTGTCTTCCGGCGCCGCTGTCATTTGGTTGTACAGAAAGGGAATAAGAAGAAGAAGAAAAATGGAAACGAAAACTCCACTATGAAAAAGTCGCATTTACCCTTCCTATTTTCCTCACATGTAGTTCACATGACTTAAACTCATGGAAAATGTAATGATGGACCAATTCACCGAATAATAAAGAGTTGGTGGACCATTTGAACGAATAATTTAGTTGAGGAACCAAAATGCAACTTGGGTATAAGTTTGAGGACTATTGTAGTAAATAACCCTTTACTTAAATGTTTATAGTGGAAATAAGGCTATAAGGGGAACAAAAAACAAGGCAATGAGCAGGCCTACACAAGCTAGGCCGGATCATGGGTGGGCCTTGTCAGACCAGAGGTTCAAAACCTAAACCCAATCCCTACCTAACCTTAGAACGAGCCCGGCCAAACGGGCCTAACTATTAGAGTGGGCCGAACTTTGGCCCATCAAGCCTCGAGCTACCCACTTTGGACCTCGTGGACCGTGGGCCAAATGATGACCCTTAGTCCGAAGGGTACCAAACAAATTTTCAAATATTTTAGCCATTTTTTATTGTTTCATTTTTTTGAGTGTGACGGGTAAATGTCATGCCACTACACCTCGGAAGGATGACATGATCAACCAATGATCATGGGCTTCTAAGTTGTTGCAGCCTATTCGGTCCACTGAGAGAAGGCTTTGTGAATTCTACTTCCGCTTGTGTGATTTCTTGAAGCCCAATGCATGTACACAAATTACGATTTTGAACATCATACTCTCTCTCTTGGGATGTCTAAATTTCTATGATACACACATTCAACCTGAACACTACAAGTTCCTAAGATAAGTTAATGCATACTTAAGTTGAACCTAAACAAAACAACAAACCAAACCACCACAACCATCATCCCAAATGCCAACCCAAACACTATAATTAGCTCCCAAATTTAGTCTCTTTTTTTCCAACCATCTCAATATCTCTCACCCATTCCCACCATATTCTGGTACATTTCTCTCTCTTTCTTTCTTTGTTTTTCGTTGGTAAGGTAGGTGGCCCAAACACAGAAAGTAACCAAATGCGGCCAAGTCACGGCCTTTGAGTCGCAAAAATAGCAATTTGCATAGGACTCTCCTGCGATCACATCCTTCCATGATTCCATTTCCTTCTGTATAAATAAATCCCTTTCCAATTCTGTCACGCAATTCCAACCCCATAAGTTTTTCATTTTCAACAAAAGTCTTCTCTCTTTTTCTTCGCAACCCCCAAAGTCTCTATCTTTCTATATCGCTCGCTCCATCTCTCTCGTGGCAATCCAACCACTCTGGTCTATGGTGGTTGGCTTTCAGATGACGATCCATTGCAAGTTAGTGTCTGGGTGGGATTCTGAAACGTCATTCTCACACTGATCTGGGTAAGAGAAAAATAAATCATAAACAGAGAGGGAGGGAGAGAGAGACAGCGAGTGAGTGATTGTGCATTAAAAAGAAGACAATGGAGGTTGAGAGGATTAGGCAGCTTTTACTTCTTTGGTGTAGAAAATCCTTCGTGGCCCTCGTGGGTGGTAATCACACCGCCGCTAGGTTCTGTGCCCGCTAAATCTCAAAATGTTCTTAGTTGTTTTACCTTCGATTCCTTCTTGAATACATTGCAAAATTTGCAATCTTCAGACTTTTTTCGCATCTGAGTACCCGCCAAATCGGCTCTTCGAGCTTTTCTTCTTGACCTGCAGATCGGATCTCGCGTTTTCACAGAGCTTTTATCGGATTTTTTATATTACGAAAGTGTTGAAAAGGAAACAGAGAAATGGAATTGGCTGGTGGATATACAGCCAAGGACCAGAGCAAGGTGAAGCACCTTCATGGTGGAAGGATGGGATTGGATTCCGAGACTCATTTGGTGATCAAGCTTCCTGATTCCAAGGTATTGCGCATTATTTCAAGGTCTGTTTTTCTGGGTTTGGTTATTCTTACACTGCCCTGCATTGGGTCCCTTTTGAGGGGAGTAAGTGTTTCTGAATTAAAATATGATACTCAATCTGAAATTTTCAATTTTGAGCAATTGGGTCAGCTTTTCCATGATTTAGCTGGTGAGGGCCTTCGCAGAAAAAGTGACAAGGCTCTCATTGTGAGCCCTTTCAATGTTGGTATGATTCACAATCTTCATCCTTTTGATTATAATGTATTTGACATTGTTATGGATTCGGATTTGGAGCGAAAAAGCTCATTCTTGGACGAGTCTTTGGATTTTGTCTTCGCATTCAACTTGGTTGATGCTAAATTTGTAGATCGCATTTTGAAGATTGGTGGCATTGTGGCTGTTCCATTAAGCAATGACCCTTCAAATGCTTTTAGACCGAAACCTAATTACAAGATCGTGTATCTTCGTCGATATGCTTCCACCTTTGTGGCAATGAGGAAAACCAGCCCGTCTTATGATTTGGCGGTGAAGTCTAGGCGGCTTTGCCAATTCGAAACTGAGGCCAAGAAGACAGTGTTGAAGGGTCTAGAAGATGTGGTGCTTGAGCCACCGAGACGTGTGTTGGCTAAAACAAATGAGTACTTGAAGAAGATCAAGTTCCTTCCTAACTTGTTGGGTGATTCTCTTCAAGGTTATGACCGCCGAGTGTTTGTTAATGTGGACTTAAATGAGGACAACAGCGGCGTGACTGAGTGGTTTCAGCAAAATTATCCAAAAATGGATAAAGAATTTGAAGTTTACAACCTCGAAGTAGAGCCTGAAGAAGCTTCAAGCACAGCGGTGGCACCGCCACGAAATGATGTATCGGATTGGCTAAAGAAAAATGTGAGGGAAGAGGACTATGTTGTGATGAAAGCAGAAGCAGAAATGGTTGTGGAAATGATAAAGAAGAAGACAATCTGCTTGGTAGATGAATTGTTTTTGGAGTGCAATAATGGATGGTGGCAGAAAAATGGAAAGACGTATGGGAGCAAAAGGGCTTATTGGGAATGCATTGCTTTGTATGGAAGGGTGAGGGATCTAGGAGTTGCTGTGCACCAGTGGTTTCTATGAGAAAGATAAATTGATATCAGTATATAAAGTTTGCTGCTTTCTTCTGTCCGTGAATATTCTAAGAGAGAGTGATATTTGGGTTGGTTTTTCAACTTGTGGTAGATTAAGTAGTTTGTTTATGTTTTTTGTTGGTCTTGTATGAAGCTTTTGTTTCTTTAGGTGTTAGTTGGAAGGGAGAAAGACTTTGATTCTCCTTTTGACCAGTGGTGTAGTCTCTATTTATTTGAATAATAATAATAATAATAATAATGCGCATTTGAATTTCGAGGTGTTGAAAATTGAGGAATTCACACACCACCGGAGATCACATATTGTCAATGCATATTGCAATGCAAAAGAAAGGAAACGTCCCACCAAGGTAATTAGGTGCAAGGGTTCCAAATTTGTGAGATTGTTGGCAATATGCAAAGGGATGCTAACAATGCTAAGAACTAAATGTATACAATGTTCAAGTGTCTCTCATTTGGTGCTTGAAAAAGGTGGAACATTTGGAATCCAAGACAAGAGTACGAGGTGAATTTACCCTTTTGTTTTAATTTTTTTTTAAAAAAAAACAATAATCTTAAGATTATATTCATGATGGTGAACACCGAGTTGGTTTGATGTTAAGTGAGCTAAACAACATTTTAAGTATAAATAAGCGAATCTGAAAATTAGAAAGAAGACTTATAATAAGCAAATTTTGAGTTAACATTCTTCTTCTTTTTTGTATTGGAGGGAATCGAACTTTTAACCTATCTGATGATCACAAATTTCATACCACTAGTTAGACTAACATCAGGAGCTTGAATAACTATCTTATTAGTAACGTTTCTTGACTAATTCGCTTTATTTTGGTTAGGAAAAAAATGGGGAAGGAAAAGGAAGAAAGAAAAATATTAATAAAAAAATAAAAAATGACATATCCCGTCCAGGTGGGAAAATTGACGGGTTTAAAGGATAGAACCAAAACCCGCGACTGGGTGTCACAAACCGAACGCCAAGCTCCCAAAAATCAACACGCTAATCCAATCACGACCGTCCATCACGCGGTTTGGGAAGAAGAGCTAGAGCTCTGCTCCGGCGTATAATCTCACGTGGGCTCCACTCCCCACCATTTTTAAAATTGAACATTAAAATGGGTCCAAATCCAATCCAACCGGGAAGAAGATCGAACAGACTGGCGTTAAACTGAAATCACCAACCAACTGTACTCTCTCTGATCCAACTTCTTAACGTCACTGAAACCATAAACCAAAACTACTCCGTCGATCTTGAATCACAGCAGATTCAGAGCCCAAAGCCCGAAGGTAGTTCCTCACCAATTTCATTTCTTTTTCTAGGGTTTCGCTTCCAATTATTTTGGGGATCGAGGCGCATCATCCAATTTTATTCTTTTGAATTTCGTGGTTACAGTTGAAGTGGAAGGTCATGGCTCGGATAAAGCCTCAGGCGCTGTTAATTCAGAGCAAAAAGAAGAAGGGCCCAACTCGAATCAGTATTACTACCATAGTTATGTGCAATTTAATCATCGCTTTGATCGCCTTGTCCTTAGTTGCCACTTATCGCTATTGGTCTAGAAGGTAGCATTTCTTTTTTCTATCTGTTGCAGTTTTCATATCCTTCGTGATTTTCTTTCTCTGGAAATTTGAATTGTAGTGCTAATTTGGATAATTTCAGCCTCTTATTTTGTTGTGCGCTAATTTGCTCGTAGGTCGCTGGACCAATCTGGGTCGGACTTATCTACTCTAGAGGTATTTATTTGAAATGAGTTTTTTTTTCTTTCTTTTTCATTTGTGTAATTATTAATCTTCCTGTTTTACAGTAATTATGAAAATGCATATTTGACTAAATTTATTAATCTTTATTGTCTAGGATATTGGTGGGTTAGTAAAGAAGTACGATCTTCCCGGTTATGCTGTAAGTGTCTTTGTTGCCAACTTGCTTTTTTATGTTAATGTGAACTGCAACTGCGACTGCTAGAACTAAGAGGGTGCGCTTTTGGTTGTGGTGGTGTGGCTAAATTAGTTATGACGTGAATGTTTATCGATCAGTTTATGGCTCTAAATGAGCACATTGAGCAGTGTTTTGCTTTGTGTTTTAGATTTTATCTTGTTATATTTGGAATACACAAATAATCGAGCAACTATTACTACTGTGCAAGAAGTCACTTAATGTAATAGGAAGCAAATTTCCACGCCAGTTTTGAGGTTTTACAGAAGGTTCATTTATGGGAAAATTTAATGCATAAAGATTGCTGCACTGGTTTCATTTGGAGACATTTTATTCCTATTTTTCTGCTGATGTTTATGTTTAGTGGTTTAATTCGATGTAACACTGAACACTCCTATCTGCTTCTCTATATTGTTAGTTATTCACTCTCTTTCTTCTCCCCTCCCCTATGTTTTTTTATATAGATTCTAAATACGTCAAAAGGTCCTATCACAGTGGAACTTTTCAAGGATGGTTCTCCAGAGGTTGTGGATAGATTTCTTGACTTATGGTGAGTATTCAACAGTGCATATAAATCTTACATACATACATTCTCTAGTTATCGAAAATCATATATATATATATTGAGTCCTTTTCCTTAAATATTGAGAGAATAAAGTTAAAATTAGGGGATGGGGCGGATCTTAGTGCATAGCTGTTACCAAATTACCAATAGCCAAACCAACAATAAGTTTCCCATTAATTTGGGTTCTTCTTGAATTTCCTTGTAATAAAAGTTCCCTATCCTATGTGTTAATCATTTAGATATTCTTATATTTTTATAAGCCATTGTCATATATTTTGTTGTAGCTCCTTTGTGAAAGGGTTCACCAACGAGTTAAAGGGTTCTGTGTTATTCTAGAAGCTTGGTGATGCAGATACCTGGTTGACTTATATCTTGACAACATTTAGGTCCTAAATGTAGGCTTGATTAGTACAGTAATTGCAAATAAAATCAGAACTTTGACAATTGGAAAGCATCTCAATATACTGACTAGCAGTAACATCTACAAATAGACGTGCTTGGTTTGTGTGTTTGGTAATATTGTGTTATGCTCTCAAGACACTTCTAAGGCATTAGTTTTGCAGTCAAAAGGGGCACTTTAAGGGGATGCCCTTCAGTCATGTGATCAAACACTATGTTATTAAAGGGGGAGGTTCCCAAGGACTTGGAGCAGCTGAAGATTGGATATCAAAAGGGAAGCTTCGTAGTCAACTAGTTACGAGGTTAGCTTAAATTTTTTTTTTGAATTGGTTGGTATTTCATCCACTGTCACAAAACCGATAGCTTTATTCCTACCTGTGTGAAACATGAAGACCAAAGCATGAAGCTTTTATGCTTGGAACTACGAAGAATAGACTAGATGACAAAGGATTTGAGCTTGTTATCACAACTGCACCAATACCAGATTTAAATGATAAGCTGATTGTGTTTGGACGGGTCATTAAGGGAGAGGATGTGGTGCAGGTATATATATTTTTGCATATTGAGTAATATTTTGTCATGCCTAGACTTGGATAATATCTAATGTATAATTCTTTGCATATGATCTTCCATTCAGGAAATTGAAGAGGTTGATACAGATGAACATTATCGGCCTAAATCTTCTGTAGGGATCACTGGCGTGATTCTGAAACGTGAGATTTAATGACAATTCAATACAATCTATTGTGAAGTATTCCTGCATAGTATAGTTGCTGGTTTGAGTATTTTCTTGCCGGACTACCCTTGCAATGTACAACAGTACATCATAGGTTTCAGATTTTCCCCGTCCAATTTTCTCTTCTTCTACTCTCTTGATTTGGTTTGTGATTTAGTGGGGGAGGGGGGAGTTTTGATACTCATTTTAGGTGTAGGTTCCACATCTGGGGTGGACAAAATACGACAATGAAGCTAATTTGATATGCACTTTTGTTGTCGCAATCATTGTGTTATGATTATTTGATATGATTCATTTTGTTCTTTTTATGGCATTTTCACTCTTAAAATTATTCTTAGACAATGTTGTGGATTGTTGTCGCCATCACGGAATCACGGAGGTTAAGGTTTCGATTTGCACAGTTTGGTAACTGAGTTGATATTTCACCTTGTTAGATGTCTGAATGGGTTACCTTACTTCCAAACGATTGCCCAGCTTCTTGCTTTGCCCCTTTTATTTTATGTCATCCACGTGCTGGCCTAAAACTCTTGGTTGAAATTGCTCTCATGTAATTGGATTTGGTGATCAACTTTGTTTATGCATTTACTGGGGAAAAAGAAGAGGGTTTTTTTTATTGTTTTTTTAAATCACAATTGGTCCTTGAACTTTTTAAAAGTCTTCATTTTAGTCTTTCAAATCTCAAAGCAATTCATGACTCATGAGGTCCTTCATCTTTTGGTATGCGCATCAATTTGGTTTTTACTGTTTCATTCTGACAAAATTTTCACTAAAGTTAATAAAGTGTCATTACGTGACCAATTTTAAACAAGAATTTTCATCAAAATATAGCTTATTTTAGTTATAAAACCTCAAATTATTGCTCAACGATGTCATCTGCTCTCCATTTTAGGGTTGAGTCTTGTTAAGCAAAAATAGTGATTTTTACTTTGTGTCATGGGTGGATAAGTTGTATTGTGACACAAACATACCTTTAAAGTTGGCCACGCGCTATCACATTACCCCACATTATCAATTTTAACAAAGATCTTCAACTAAATGTGACAAGAGGGATTAAATTGATGTGTGGACCAAAAGATTAAGGACTACATTGTCGAGTCATTCTATAGTGAGGGCTTATATATGGTTCTTAGGTGAAGTCTTATCTCTTAACTGTTAGATCATGCTAACCACTTTAATTCAACGACTAACTAATTTAATTAAACTGTTAAAAAAATAAGACCTCACATAATGGCTTCAGTATCTTGCTGCATTGCCAGGCGCATACTAATCATTAAGTATTCGGCCCAGTCCACCACCTGTGGCGCAATTTTGAAAACCCGCGCCAAAAAGCTGTACGAGTTCTCTTCCCTCCCCTTTAAAATCCCAAAATGTGTATTATATTATTACACAGTGCAGATTGGTAGGGATTGTGAACTCGCTCGACTTGGTCATGGACATTGATCAGCCAAAAAATCAAGAAGATCCGTTTCTCAAATTCATTGATTACGCGAGGTCCGCTCTCTCCCCTGAACCAGACGAAAATTTGGATCCGAATGAAAACGGGGCAGAAACCAGTACTGGACCCAGCTGGAGTTGGATAGCGTCTCGGATTCTCAAGACTTGTAGCGCCTACTCCAGCGGCGTCACTGCCGCGATTCTACTCTCTGATATATCTCAGGTACCGTTTTTAATCGAATTCGTCTCTGTTTGGTTGCTGAGAAAATGTGAGAAAATAAAAGAAAGGAACCTGATTTGAATTGTGTTGGTTTTTGCTAGGCGTGGAGCGAGCAACATAGGGACAGGCCTCCAAAGAAAATGCCGGAATGTGTGAAGCAGTCGAGAAAGAAGTACAAGAGAAGGAAGCTTCCGAACACCGTGACCATCGACTCCATTTATGAAAAGAATTTCTTGTCCTTGAATAGTGTTTTGGAAGCCGTAATTGTGGAAGCTTTTGTTCTCCCAGGTAGACTTTCATTTTGAAATTTTGGAGCTTTAACGTAATTGTTATTTTCTTTATCGGTGATATTAATTGCTTCTCTTTTCTCAGGTACCAACATCTCTGTGCTTTCCTTAGGAGATTATTGGAGCTCCAATACTATTGACATTTATCTCCACCAAAGGTATATGTTGTTCTTGTTGTGTGTTGCTTTTATGTGTATTTACAACTACATTCTGAAACCAATAGCATGAGATTTTGTCTGTGCAGATACTGTGACTTGACTCGTAATGGACTTCTCAAGAAAGGGAGGGAGATCTTTCTCACTGGGTGCTATCTTCGTCCTGCAACTAAAGGAGGATCCACTTATGTGCGGCTGTTGCCAACAGAATATCTGACCATATTGTTAGATGAGGTAATTTTCAGATTTGACTACTGCCCAGCCTTGAGATTAGGAAAAGGATTTGGGGTGTCTTTTTACTTTTCTTCTTACATGTCTTTTTTGCTTCCATTAATATAGGCGGAAGATGGTGATTTAATGCTGATAGGAACTAAGTTTTGTTCAGATCCATTCTCTTCAATTTCTCTTGATGCTGCTTATAAAGATGTTTGTTATTCGTTGTATGCAAGGTAAGATAAATTGTTTCTAATAACCAATTTTAAGTATGCTAGATATTTTATAAATATTAATTAGTTCCAGATGTCCTAATGAGGTGGGGATGTGATAATGAACTGAGATCCTATAAACATGATATATCATATGGATGTGTCTTGAAATTAGAAGTTCATAACTGGAATAATGCTGATTAGTGAGGTTGAAGTTTCCCTGAGGTTGAAATGGTTACCTTGCTTTCCCTATTTATGTGTAGAATTGAAATTATTGGGCCACTGGAAGTACATGGTACTTTACAGAGTAAACAAATTACTCTTGTTGACAATGATGGCGTGAAGCTACAATTTCTGCTGTGGGGTGATCAGGTTGTCTTGGCCAATCTTTTGAGGTAAACTTTAGAACCATTTTTCATATTTTAGATACTTTCTTCCATTGTATGTTCATAATTCAACTTCTTCAGCGTGGGAAGTATGCTTGCACTGGATAGACCATATATCGCTAGTTCTGTAGACAGAGGTATTGAAACGAGTAATGAAGTTTGCCTTGAATTTGGTAGTACAACGCAATTGTTTTTGGTGCCTCTGATTCAACATGAGGAGCAAGTAAGTCATATATCACAGTTTGGATAATTGGGTTATCATTTAAGATATGGAGTTAATTTTCTGTATAAATCAGGTATCTGTAGCACTGACACCAAATCGGTATCAAGGGTCAAGACTGCAGAGCACAATAGATCCCAGTCAGGCTCCACAAGTTTCTCAAGTTTCCTTGCCCTGTGATTCACATGGGTCCATTGACTTCAGTAGTTATCCTTTTCAAGTGAGTTTCCTTCCATTACACTTCCTTATTGTGTGAACACTATTTAGCAGTTTCTATAATTTAATTTGTGTTAGAAGCTATGAGTACCATGATTCTAAAGGGATGCATTATCATTAATTTCTTGAATATGGTTTATTGATTGAATTTTGAAGCTTTGAGCACCACAGAATCAACTTATGCATTGATTCCATGAACATCTGTCCAAGTCAAATTATGTAGTAGGTTATTGTCATTCTTAAGCAATCATGCACTAATGCCTTTATACAATTATTTAAAAACTAATTCCGTTCTTATCTACTTGCTATGCAATCATCCAAGTTTGTGTGAAATCAACTGCCTGAATGATTCATACCCGAGTCTCCTGTTAGCATTTGCATATTGTTGTTTTTATTAATATCTCTTACTCCTGTGAAGTTTGCAGTCATTCGTGACTGACCTTCATGACAAGATCACTGGTGTCAGCCTTTACGGTGTTGTTACCAATATTACCAGAGAAAGAAGTACCACAGAAGCTATCTTCTCCTTGAGAGTTGAAGATACCACTGGAGCAATTTGGGCAAAGTTACATTTTGTGAAGTGTTGGTAAGGATAATAAGTTAATTTGGTACACTTGGTTTTATGACCCATTCCCCGACTATAAATTTCACATTTTTAATAATATAATTTTGCTTCAAATTGTGTATTTCCTAGGTCATTAAGAAGATTAAACATTGGTCACACAGTGTACATATCAGGCCTGACATGCTCTATGACAAAGCGGAAGGGGTGAGCTTATTCCAGCATTTTCAATTAGTCATTTTCTAATGTCAATATGTGGGTGGTTAAAGCAAGTTCCAATGTTCTCGACCAGTCATTTTCAGTTATAGTTCAGACACTTTCTGGTTTGTTCCTAGTTATGTGGTTTGTAGTCTGATTTGGAATTTATAAGGGTTCCACGAAAACATTTTTTGTTTGACAGCCTGGAAGCATTATGGTTCGAGAACACTGCTGGAGCTTCTTTCTTCAACCTCAGTTCCTTGCCAGCGTTGCTAAACTCATCTTGTCTTCATAAATTGTCAAACCTCTCTGATCTATCTAGCCAGACTAGCTGTATGCAGGTATGGTTTTCCAATAGATTTTTGTTGTGACTAGTCTGTTTCTGCCATGATTCCCTTATCTATACTTCTGCTTTTTATGCTGTAAATCTAATATGTTCACTTGCAAAAGGGAAAAAAAAGAAAGAAGTTATCATGTTCCGCTTTTCTCTGGATGTGCAAACATTTGCCACTTTATCATAACCCTGTTTCCAAAATATTATTTAGAATTGAGGAAGAATAGTAGGCCTGATTTTTTTGTGTGCTCCTGACAGCTTACATGCACCCAATCACTCACACATACCTAGTAAAACAATAATCCTGAAATCAAAGGGAATTATAGTGCTGCAACTCTATGGCACAGAATTACCATGTCTTCCTTCTCTGCAAGTTTGTCTGTCATGATGTGTATTGTGGTAAAACTCTCTTTCGCATTCCTTTTGGTGGAAAGTGTGTGGGAGGGCATGGTGGAGCCATGTTTTCTATTCCTTGCAATAGGTGTTGTGCTTTTATATCAGTTATCTACTACACTGGGTATGTCTTGCATTTTATAGCCTGTAAGTTGGGGTATCTGTTCTTCTATAATTATATACTATCATGTGGACAGATAGTTCAGGTTTGGCTGAAAATGAAGATGGTTCATGTCAGTAAAAGATTTTCACATGCCATATGTGGCCATTTTGTTACCGAGCAGCCCAATGATGTTCTTGAATGCAGCTTCTGTAACACCAGTTGTGGTGCTGAAGTTATCCATACTTTCTACCTGAAAATTACTCTTGCAGACGAGAGTGGGGAAGTTTCTGCATGGTGTACTGGTCACACTGCTACAGAGTTGCTGCAAATATCTCCTGATGAATTCTTTGAACTGCCTGAGGTAATATGTGAAATCAACTTATTTTTCTAGCTACATGGAAGTAGGTCAAAATGAATGCATGTACAATTTAAACATTATCATTAACCAAATTACAATCTAATTAAGAGGATCTCCATTGTGTCGCTTAATTTTTTAGATCTGCAACGGTATTTTGCTGAGAAGATGCTTCTACTTGTTTGCGTATTTCATGTCCTTTTTAGTCTAACTTTTGATTTGTATTCCAGGATGATCAAGCTATGTATCCTACTTCATTAGAGAAACAGAGATTCACGGTTGCAATTGTTAATTGTAAGCAGCAGGGCTGTGGACCCAATGATGCTCTTCGTATGCTAGAGACTGAAAGGATCTCATGGGAGATAACTGGAGCATTGAAGAGTGAATAATGATGGCTTGCAAATGTAATACTCAGGAGGCAGCTCAAATTATTATTTATGTGTAAAAAAAAGGTAAAATATATGATTATCAGTCTAGATACAGTAGAAATTCATATTTCATTCGAACAAAACAAATCCAGTTGTGATTTACAAATTTAAATCCTATTATTCAATGTTTTGATCACAACTCCAATCAACAGCAGCATTTGAAAGAAAACAAAAATTATAAATAAAAAAACCCCCCAATCATCCACAAAAGAGTCAAAAGGACACTCCTCTCCTCGGACTCCATGAAATGTACTGAAAACCTTGGCAACAGTTAAAAAGGAGCAGGCTTGCCAGTCCTGAATTGAGATGAATTTGAAAAGCCAAGTCTCCAAGTTCCTTTTATTGCTTCTTAATAATTGATTTATCTGCAATCCCAATCTCCAAGCCCTATGGCCAACAGATGAACCACAGCTACCAAATCATCAGGCTTAGTACCGTCCTCAGCATAATTGGAATAACTGGGATTTGAAGAGCAACTGGATAGCAATTGGGAGTTTCCTTGGGTTTAGGGTGTAGGGTTGGTGGCGACTCGAGTGCCGGACATAACAGCGTTGAAGGCAGATGGGCGAGAGCACATGGCGGTGGCGGGATTGGGAGAGGGAAGTCAGAGAAAGTGGTTTGAGTTTTTTGGTTACTTTTGGCGGGACAAAATTTAGGAAGTCCAGCGAGGAAAATAATGCAATAAATAAAACAAATGATAATTGGCTGTGTGCTAGGGTTTTAGGGGTTCAGGGTTTTTCTTTTTTCTTTTTTTTTTTCTTGGTCAAAAGGGGTTCAGGGTTTTTGAGGGGTTTTTGTCACATTTTTAGCATTTCAAGCTCGAGGCTTTTTCAGAGCAAAAACAAAAGCTCGAGACTTTTATACATCGGAGCCATCCAAAGCTCCTTATCATTTCGTTACCAATGGAGGTTCCCTATCACTAGCAAGAAAAACCCTAGGAGATTTTCCGCTCTTAACTTCCAGGGTTTTTAGGCAATGGAGGATTTCGACGATGATTTCGGGGAGCTATATGCTGGTGTTGAACCGCAGGCCAACTCAGCCATCAATGGTGTTCCGAACTTTGCTCACCTTTATACGGAGCCAGAAGAAGATATAAATGATGATGATGATGATCACAAGCCGAAGAACGCTAGGCCTGCTTCTGAGGAGCAATTTGTCTCTGATTCTAAGAAACCCGATTCTGTCTGCCAGGAGTTGAGTGAGAAAGTTTCGGGTTTGGAGGCGAATGAAGACTACAGTGGAAGTGACAGTGAGGATGACTTGAAAATAGTTTTGAATGATGAGGACTGTGATGGTCAAATGTTTCCAGTTGCAGGCCGAGGGAGCATGAAGAATGATGAGGATGAGGATGATGATGGTTTTGTGGCTACAAAAGAGTACAAGGTATTCTAATTGTGCCAGACAAATTTAATTTTTAAATTTTCTGAACTAATTTGAAACAGTACTTTTCATTCACTGGTTAGTTATAGAAACTTAAGTATTCAGGAGAAAGATGACAGTGCCCTGTAAAATAAATATATAATCGGAATGTTTCCGGTTACAGAACTGAATATGGATAGATGATGAATACTATGTTTGATTTTCTACGTGTTTAAGTATTTCAACTCCAACACTGATATTTTTCGATACGAAATGTTATGTTTCTTTAGCTGCTGTCTTGTTGCCTTTTCTAACTGAGGGATGCTTACTGATTTGTGCAGTATGTAAGGACTCAAGGATATACTTGTCCAAGCAATGGAAAAGCCAATGAGGCTGTGGGCTTGGTGTCTTCCATGTTGGTTAGAGGAGACCATGATAATAATAATATGCGCAATCAACGTAAGGGGTCAAGCTCTCACATTGCTTGTGTTCGTGATACACCCCATCCAGTGCTGACTCAAAATAGATATGGTTTCAGGCTTCCTTGGTATAGGTTAGTAAATTACAAACAAAATTAAATCTGCACAAACCCAATTTCTGTAATGGTTAACCTGTCGATACGTCAAGTTTCATGAAATCGAATACCAAAAAAGACAACAAAAGAATTGAGAAGAACTCTGACTCTGTAGAGCATTCTAGAATTTATCTTTGTCTCAAAAAAATGATTTTAGAGTATTACTGTCCAAAGTTTGACGCAAAGCATCCTTATTTTCTTTCTTCCAGGACCATACTTGATGTAAATGTTGAATCATTTGAGGAGAAGCCATGGAGGTATCCTGGAGTTGATTTAAAAGATTACTTCAACTTTGGTTTGAATGAGGACAGTTGGAAACAGTACTGCAACTCCCTGGTAAATGAAATGGTGCCATACTTATCATCAAAAACAAATATATCACATAAAAAAATTTCTCTAGGCTAGTCTTCTAGATCCCATTTGGATGTTATGGCAGGTTTAAATGGTCTGGCCTTATGACCAAACTGGTTCTCGATGGTTTTCTTTGACACAGCAATATGTAAATACAATCCTAATAATAATGCATTGCAGGAACAACTTCGGCTGGCATCCATGCAGTTTGGGATCCCTGTCCCAGACTCCTCAAAACTCTATCAGGTTAAATCTTTTGGAACTCTTAATATATCACCACAACCGTTGTTCAAATTTTTGGTGTTTACATGTCCACCCGTATCTTGCTTATTAGGCTAAAGAAGCTGGATCTGAGTATGATAAATTTGCTCAGGAAACTATTTCTAAAGATATGAATCATGCTGACCCAAGGAAACATGGTCCTCCATCAAGATTTTTTGATTCCAGAGTGAGACAGTTGGAACTAGTATGTCAGAATTTATTACTATTCTGTGATTATTGTATTCAGAAACTAGTTTGAGATAATTATAACTTGTTGGCTTTTGATGTTTCAGCCGAAAGGCAGAGCAATTCAGATTGAAGATAGTATTATTGAACGACAACCATCTTTTGATAGTAGGCATCCACTTAGTTTAGATTCTGATGTTGTGATACAGGTGTGTTGTCACTTTGAATTGTCTTATGGATTTTTTGCATCTACTTTATATTATGCTATTACTAATCAGTGTCACATGATTGGGTAGATTACTGTGCAGGGCCCCACTGAGGAAACCTCTGATTCTGGTGAGGGACAGGGCTGTACAAATGGCACTGTACATGAGGCATCTGCAAATGGGGAATTTGTTATTCCCTCTTCTAATATTGCCAAAGAAGACGATTTATCTGTAGGAAGTCTCAAAGGAAACTCGAGAAGATTAGACAGGTCTGTATTCTTGTTTGATGTAGGGCCCTAAATATTCCAGTTATTATACAATTTCGTATGGCACATGTAATGCATATATCTTTCCTTGATATCATCAGGTGTTCCCAGCAGATCAGTCCCATGGTAATAGATTCTGATAATCACAGAAATAACCAGGCCTTTGATCAGGACGGATATGACCATGAGCAAGGGAATGCTATCTCATTGGAAACCATTGAAATTGCAAATCAAACAACAGAAAGTATTGGCAGGAATGCTGTCTGTGCTGATCAAAGCATGATGGAAGCACAATTATCACTTGGTGATGATGATCAACTTAGCCCCACTTCATCCTGTTTTGTAAGTGATTCTGAAGCATCCAATAATAGTGATAATTTTGATCCAGAAGATATCCGTACTCCTGTAAAGTCAACAGTGAATCCACACATTGAACTATGCAAGTCTGTCAGATCATCTTGTAAGAACTCAAAAGACATAGTCATCAAGAGAAAAGTAGCTGATGTCAAAGATTATCCTGCACGTGGAAGTCCTGCTCCAAAGAAGCGCAAGCATCAGGATAGGAGGCTTGACAGTGTTGTTGAACCAAATGTTCACAGAAAAGATGAACATGATGCATCCCCCACCTCGGAAACAGATGACCTGTATGACAGGGATCACTATGTGAATTCTCGCAGACAGAAAAAAAGGCTGCAAGATTTCAGCTGTAGTCACAGAGAAGATATTTCAGATTATGAAGAATCAAGCCATTATGGTATTAGATATACTGATAACCATGTTCAGACAGCTAATACAAATTATTGGAATAGAAAAGGTAGACAGAAGTTCCAAGACACGCTAGATCCATATGTCAGAAAAACCTGGAATGAAAGGGAGTATTCTTGTGAAGAGCGGGATGCAGATTGGCATCATTTTGGAAGAACACAATTCACTAAGGAGAGGATTCCTCTCACCAACAGGGATTCCAGGGGGTTGCATTCTAGTTATTGCTCCCACACTGCTGAAGAAAGGGATGCTCCATGTAGAAGGAATAGCAGCAAACTGCAGTTTAAGAAAATACCAAACCCTAGTGGTGGTTTTAATTATAAATGTGAAGATGACTTTGTGGGAGAAAAATTTGGGAGATGCATCTCATTCACTGATCAAAAAAGGAAATTTCCCCAGGTTAGGAGAGAATTAAAAAACTCTAGGGGAAGGGGTGGACATGTTGACAGTCCCGTTTTGTATTGGGATGATTCATGCTCTGGGAAAACTAAAGATCAATATTGCAGACACAGAGAAAATCGATATTTGTCCCATCAGTCTTACACAGCTGATGAACAAAGGTGGAATGACTCCCTATCACCAAGAAATGATGTTTCTTACTCAAGAGCAACTGATGAAAGATATTGGAGGCATGCGAGCAAAATATACTCTGCTGAAGCCAAAGAGAGTAACTGGTTTGATAGTCATAATACTGATGAAATTGATGATATCATTTATCCTAATGATCATTTAAGGTGGAGAAGATCTAACTGGCGATCTGAAGTGCTGCACTGGACAGAGGATCAGTTAACTGTCAGGGATCATGGTGACAAATTGTATTCTAAGAAGGGATCTGTTTCTTATCAGAAATATGTAAGGAATGAAACCTTTCATGTTAAATATGGTTCTTCTCATGATGCCATGCATATTGATGATATGCTACCAGAGCAACATAGATTGAAAATGATGAGAAAAAGAAGTAGTGCTAAGTGTATGAATAGAAGTTCTATGATGGGTAAGCATGAGCAGACGATCCCGAGGTGCAGAGATTCGACTGACTTGTTTGTTGGGGAAGGCAAGGTAAAGTTAAGGGAACAAAGGATGAAACCTATTATCACTGTACTTGTATATATGAGTGCTCGACATGAGTTCAGCAAGCCTTATTTATTTTTTTCAATTCTATCCCATTGCATGTTTTCTGTTTCTCCTTTTCCTTTTTATATAATATTTTCACTTTCCCCTCTCCAGGTAATGTGTTTGTGAAGCTCTTTAACAATTTCTGCTTTTGTTTATATGTTCTTGAGTGTTAAGAGTTTCCATTCAGATCAACATAAGGCCTTCTTAGATCCAGGGTGTGAAGCATGTAATGAGGGGGAAAATGTTCCCTGTCGATCATTGATCCATTAATTTAAGTTCTTCTAGCATTGATCCATTAATTTAAGTTCTTCTAGCAACATCCCTAGTAGCGGAGTTGGTTCATTGACCTTCTGCCGCATGTGTTGAATCATCTACTTTACCCATTTAGTGATTGATATATTATATATGAGTGACATTTCCTTGTGACTATACACTGCAGTCCTCTGGAAGATGCTCCAAAGGCAGAACTTTGATGTGCAATGATAGGCGTGAAAATATGGACCCAGAGATTGGTGGGGCACGGACAACTTTAGTGGGTTCTAGTGAATCTGAGAAATGGGCAGTCCAATTTAGCATCCCAAAAGTTCGACGCAACCAAAACAATGAGAACAGGCTTGAAGCGTTTCCAGTTACAGGTCAAAATGATGATTTGGATATGGAGGATGGCCAGATTGTAACAGAAGAACTGACCACAGCACATCCCTTACAGAGAAAACATGCTTCTGAATATGCTGTACCAGCTCACAATGTAAAAAGGAGACCGTTTAATAATGGGAGTGCTTCCCATGGGAATAAGGTTGTAGAAGGATATGACAACCAAAGGATTCTTGAGACAATGGCAAAAATGGAGAAACGTGGGGAGCGCTTTAAGGAGTCAATCACCTTGAAAAAAGAGCCAGACAAATTGTCCAAGCCTGAGGTTGATCTTCTAGCTGAAACAGCTGAAACAAAGCAACATAGGCCAGCCCGAAAGAGGCAGTGGGGCGGTGTATAGGTTGTTTAAGAGCAATGCCATGTCTTTTATGTTTTGTTTTTCTATATTTAGATTTTTATTAGAGTAGTCTCAGATTTGATCTCATGGCTTGAAGTCTTCCTCAGAATGACTTAAGCTATTTGGGGCAGGTCAATAAAAGCTTAAACACAGCAGTTTGAGATACAGAATCAGGTTAGAGTTTTTGTTATTTTTCCCTTCTTTCAGAGAAATTGGAGGGAAGATTTGATATTCAAGTGACCTATTACCTATTCCTACCTGCAAAAGACTTCATTACGATAGCAATCTTCAATGCAGATTCAAGTTTGAGAAATAAGGGTGCTTGTGTTGCAGCAAATGGCCAAGAATCATGCTCAAGAAGATTGGTTGAATTTGTACCATTTTTGACAGGATTCGGACTCATTTAATTCACTCATATCCTGTTGTTGCCTGTATGCATATTTTATTTTTATCCCACTTTTAAAATGAAAAAAATTATAATATTGATATGGTATACGGGTCAACTGATTTGACTGAATATTTTCTTCTGTCCAAAAATCTCCGAATTTGTTGTGAGCTCCTGTCCTGATATACTGAGGCTTCGGATTGAATAGATTGTTTTTGGTCTGATAAACTATCTGATCTTGATGAACTTCCAATAAGGAGCTTCCACATGGCATAAAAATCCGCCCTCTAGAACCACAGAAAAAAAAGAAACAAAAAAAAAACAAGAGTGAAAACGTGGCAAAGTGTACGCCAATTATCCTCTCAATTGAAGGAAAATGCCCTTCGGTGAATGACCGTTAGTTTTGAGTACGCTCTCTGCAATTGCTAAAATATCCTCTCCCAATGAGGTCATTTTCACACTAAAATAAAAAGAGTATGAAAAATGTCTTATTGTGTATATTAGAGTAATTTAAAATGTTGTTTTATAAAGAAGAATTTTGGTGTTCGATAAAATTTAAATAAATAGATAAAACTACATCTTACTCTAAAATAATTGGTATAAAAGAACTACTAGTTAAAACTTTCATATAAAACTTAGTAAATATCGTGTCTATTTAATAATTTAAAAAGAAAAGACAAAGCGAAAGGGTTTCGTCCAATGAAAAATGACCTTAACTTGCATACTAGAAATATTAGGTTCGAAACCCATGACATTTAGTTGTGTATGTGTAAAAAACTCTTCTATAGTTTAGACTATCGCTTGTACTAAATAAAAATAAATAAATAAAAGCACATATTATTAAGCAAAGGAAAAAAAAATTCTCATATCATACATTAACATGTATGGACTACTTATTATGGAGCTTTTTTCCCCCTAAAATCTCAGTTTATTTCTTTGTCATTGTTTATTGCTATACTCACAAAACAAATAGAAGAGAAATTTGTAGGGTCCAAAAGTGCACACGTCATCCTACAGCTTTTTTGAAAAATCATTGTAAAGCAAAAATGGTAGAGCTGTAAGGCTATAATGGTAATTGGACAAGCAGTGGTTCTTCCTCTACCCGCCTCACATTCGTTTCAACGTGGATCATACAATACAGTTTAATCCGTTAAACACAGAGAGAAATGCACCTTCTCTCTTCTCCTCCTCCTCCCTCAAACCCCAACTTCACTGTCTTCTCCTGCACCTCCCAAAACCCTAACAACCACTCCAAGTTCGCCTTCAAAATCCCCACTTTGCCCCTCCACTCTTCCCCTTATTCCCTCTCAGCCCCTCCACGCTGCTCCTCCCGGGACTCCTCCGCACCAGTCCTCGACCAGACCCCGCTCCCAGGCTCCTCCAATGGCGCCGTTTCGAACGACCAGAGCCAAGGCAATGCCGTGCTGCCCGAGGCAGAGTCGTCAAAAAGAGTGCTCGCGGTTCGCCGGCCGGCCATGGAAGTCTCCGGCGACGGAGAAGGTGGCGAGGAGGCACCTACGGCCCTCGATGCAGGGCTTTCCGAGTTGGCGAATAATATGCCGATATTCGAGCCGGAACAGAAGGCTGAATCGGGTGTGAAAGAGAAGCCATTGTCGGTGAACTTGGACTTGGCGTTGTATAGAGCTAAAATCTTGACCAGAAACTATCGATATGATGAAGCAGAGAAATTACTTGAGAAGGTATATAATCTTCCAGTATCAATTATCAATTGTGTTTGCGGACGGTTATGCATGTCTGAATTTTTTGAAGTGTTTAAAAATTAAAATTAGTAGTGTTCTGTTTCACTGAGAGTGGCTTTGTTTGCAACAGTGTATATATTATTGGCCTGAAGATGGAAGAGCGTACGTGGCGCTGGGGAAGGCCTTAAGCAAACAATCGAAGACGGCCGAAGCTCGAGCTGTTTATGAGAAAGGCTGCCAAGCTACTCAAGGAGAAAATCCATACATTTGGCAGGTTTGGTTTTCTCTGTTTTCCAAATTGAACTTTGTGCAACTGGTTAACTGGTATGCAAAATTGAAATTTTAAAGCGTGGGGCAGGCCTTTGTTAATATGAGTACCACTTATTTTAAGATTTGGTATTGGAAAATGAAAATATAATCTTCCATTGATGAACAAAATGGTGAATCATTAGTTCTGGTTGATGATTTTTAACCATGAACAAATCAGAAGTCCGAAAGAAAGTACCTTGTTAGGAAGTCATATGTGGGAATAGTTCTTGTTAGGACTGATTGATTGATTGATTGATTTAATTGAGGTGGTTGTTTACAGTGCTGGGCTGTTTTGGAAAATAAGACGGGAAATACAAGGAGAGCAAGGGAATTATTTGATGCGGCCACGGTTGCTGATAAGAGGCACATTGCTGCCTGGCATGGGTGGGGAGTTCTAGAGCTAAAGCAGGGAAATATAAAAAAGGCAAGGCATCTGCTTGCTAAAGGTCTAAAATTTTGTGGAGGGAACGAGTACGTTTACCAGACACTCGCATTGCTGGAAGCTAAAGCCAATCGCTATGAGCAGGCTCGATATTTGTTCAGGCAGGCTACCAAGTGTAATCCCAAAAGCTGTGCCAGTTGGCTTGTAAGTCATCATTCTCCTGCATGTAGGCCTCTCTGTTACAAGTTAACTTTCCATGTCTTTCTGGCTGTTGAAATGTCTTTTTCCTGGTAGTAATTTGTCCAATTCTTATGATTCAGGCGTGGGCTCAATTGGAGATGCAACAGGAGAACAATCGTGCTGCCAGGCAACTCTTTGAGGTGATTGTTTATTTTACTGTGATCATGCATGACTATCAGTTTCCATTTCCTTGTAGATTAGGACTTTGCTGCAGTTCTTTTCTTAGAATGTTTCAGTTACTAAATTGGATATGTTTAGTTTATTTTGTTTTATTTTCTGTATTTACAGCGTTGATTGTGATGTTTTCCACCTCTATTTGTAGAAAGCGATACAGGCAAGCCCCAAGAATAGGTTTGCATGGCATGTTTGGGGAATGTTTGAAGCTAATATAGGTGACGTTGACAAAGCAAGAAAGCTTTTAAAGATAGGTCACGCGCTCAATCCAAGGGATCCAGTTCTGCTTCAGTCCCTTGCTTTATTGGAATATAAAAACTCAACTGCAAATCTTGCTCGACAGTTGTTCAGGAGAGCATCTGAGTTGGATCCCAGGCATCAACCAGTGTGGACGGTAAGACTCGCTTATCCGTACAGAGATTTGAGTTGGATCATAAATCATAAACCTGATGCCATTTATTTGTTTGAGATGACGACCTGATAAATTATGTGTGTGGATGATGCTTGTATGCTGCTAATTGTTTAAAGTGAAGTATGAATGCTCTTCAACAGTACTAAAAGCAGAATTGGAATTAGTCAGACTTTGCGATGATAGAGAATACGAGAACATTTATTGGGCATTTTTTGTTACCTACAGAAAGTGATGGACTGCACAGGCCATTACCTTTCCTTGTTGCATACCATTGATATTCTTCTTATCAAAGTTATTTCATACCACATCATCATTTCTTACACCAAAAAGAAAAGTAATTTCCATCCTTTATGCATTGGCCACTTTCTGAAATAACCTGACAGATTTATCTTCGGGAATTACAGGACTTGTTTGTGTATACATGCATCATTGTGAATTCAACAGAAAACTAATTCTCTAAATGTGAAATCTTCGGGTGTTTAGGCTTGGGGATGGATGGAATGGAAAGAAGGAAACATAGAGACAGCAAGGAAATTATACCAAAAAGCATTGTCCATCAACTCAACTAGTGAAACTGCTGCTCGTTGCCTGCAGGTAATGACCGTAGTTGGGTGTCTGGTTTCTTATACTTTGAAAATGTTCAGTTATGTTATACTTGAAACAGCAACTTCCTTAAGGTCTTCTCTATCATGTTTCTTATAAAAAAGATTCGCGACGATGGCACATAACAAGCCATATTTTTAAGGAAGAAACTTAGATCGATGCCATAGCAAACATTATCCACATGTATGATTATTAAGGCTTCTTGCCAATGACCATCTGTTTCTGTGGTAGGCTTGGGGAGTTCTAGAACAGAGAAATGGTAACCTATCAGCTGCCAGGAGATTGTTTAGGTCCTCCCTTAATATAAATTCTCAGAGTTATGTCACATGGATGACATGGGCATCATTAGAGGAAAACCAAGGAAACTCTGTACGTGCAGAGGAAATTCGTGACCTCTATTTCCAGCAGGTTAGTAATTAGCATAGTCACTGCATTTTACATGTGAGAAAGCTATCTGTTTGGGATATTTGTCTTGGAAGGCTTCAAGCCCTCAACTTTTTACACTCGTTTGTTTCTCGAAACAGCGCATTGAAATTGTGGATGATGCTTCATGGATTATGGGATTCTTAGACATTATAGACCCCGCGCTTGACCGTATAAAGAGTCTCTTGAAGTTGGACCAGAATTCACAACAAATACAACCGGATTCTCTGAGAACAATAACAGGAGCAAATGAAAATAATATCGATGAAGAGTCGGCTGGCCTTTACTCTAAAGGAAATGACATGGAAAGTGAGACTGGTTTTGATGTGGATGCTTTTGTTACAGAAAAATTATCTCTAGACCCATCCAAGCTAGAAGTTCAGATGGAAACCTCACGGCCTTTTGTACTAAACAGAACAAGAGCGAAAGTATTATAGTGATTTGCCAAATGGAGAAGAAACTGTTACACAGTACAGAAAACATTAGAGCATTTTAATCGTATACATGACAGGGCCTCTTGTGGGTTTTGTGGTTTGTATCATGAAATTTGAGGCTGAGGGCTCGCCTTGTATATTTCATACCTCGGAGTAAGGTAACTTGATATGCAAGTAAAACTTGTAATTTACTGGACAACACAGAAAAACCATTTGCATTGGGCTTCAGCCTTGATGATTAAAGAAAATATTTTGGAATGTAAACTCTTTTCCTATTTTTAGTTAATCTCGTTTGCGTTTCATTTGTTAGTAGCTCACGTACGGACATGATTTCGATTAACTTCTAACAAACAGTTTGACAACATAAATATCTAGTGTCATATCCGATAAAACGCTACTCCAATGCTCTTAAATCTCATTAAAGTTTACTATAGTATGATAAAGTTAAAGTAAAGATAATTAATGAATTTAACTATATTATAAATTATAATCAAACCATGAATTTGGTTATGATGTTGATAAACTAAACACAACTATCACCATGCATACGAGAAATTCTTCAATGTGACAGTCTCACAACATAATTACGTAGTAATACTAATTCACTCATATTACAATACGTGTATAAACTTATTAATATTACTATAAGATCACACATATTATATATTAGCCTCTCCGCACACGCTTCCGAGATTGCGAGAGGCTTTTTTTTAAAAAAAAATTTAAAAGATAATGGTAGTTGTGTTCCATAAAAATATGATCTATTATTTGATTTTTCTTTTAATTTTAATTTTTTTAAATATGAAAAAAGTGAATTTACCATATTATCCTCATTTAATTAATAATTTCAATTCTTAATTTTTGCATTAACCAATGACATTTTCTGGTATTTTGAATATTTCATCATTCTTTGCCTTTTACTTTATATATATAGATAACACATGAATAACACCACATGGTAATGTGACTGTCACACCTAAGTATTTTTTCAGTGGAAAATGATAAACTAACCCCCATGCTGTCATCTATGCAAAGGCAAAATAAATTCCTATGCTTACCATTTGTGCATACACGGATACCTCTTAGTGGCCTCACACAACACATGCACTCAATGCCATGTTAATGTTAGCTTAGCTAGGTTCAACCAACCGGCCATAATCAAGTCGCAAAGTTTGAAGAAAATCGTTACCGCCCCCTCTCACTCACTGGAACAGTCGCATGAGTAATTCTGGTTCTTCATCTCTAGTCTTCAGTCTTCCCCTGGGATTATGGGGACATGCACTTACGTGCACTTAGCACCATGAAACGAAAGTAGAGCTGCAGCAGTAGCAGTAGTAGTAGTAGTAAAAGGAACGCAATATACCTTGCTAGCTTTAGTTTGTCAAATTTGTCCAATATAATTGTTTAAACAAACAAGTTGGTCGGCATATGCACTAGTCTATAACTGGATCCAAGCCCTTCATCTGTTAGTTTCTAGAATTTTAATGTCGGAATTTTTGTTTATTGTCCTCGACCTATGCGAGGGAGGGAGTTGTCAAAATTCAAATAAGCATGCCTTTTATGTAAATTTTTAATTATCTATAGGAATGAAAGAGCCCGTTTGATAGGCGACGTGGAGCACGTATGGCCGTTGAACTTTCACACATTGGCTAACTTGTTTTGATATCATGAAGGAAGTTGAGGTTTCACCCCAAAACCAATTATAAGCCATTGCTAGGTTTCTCACAATCCAAACTATAAATCAAAACCGGAATGAAAACACGATTACCTTTTTGAAATAATCCATGTAAGATTTTCAATTTTCGTAGGATATATAGATTCTAATTAATATATCCTACGAAAGTCACGAACTTTTGTCTTTTCTCTATGCTGGTTCCGTCCCAAGTCTTGAGAAGACAGAAAGAAAGAAGAAAATTTTGCTTTTTGACCAAAAAATGGTTCCATTAACTGGAGACATTAACAGAGTATGAGCTGCAGAAACTGACATAGTGAATGACTCTGATTAGATGTAACAGGCATCCCACAGGATTAACCCCTATATTATTATAATTCTCAACCGGGGTAGGTTTTTGCTTTTTGGAGACAGGAGATCAAGAATCTCAATTTCCGAATGTTAATGAAATTATTAATAATGGCATACATGCCTTTGTTCAAATTGGCTAAAGCGGATGAACTTTCCTTTTTTCACCCGAGTTCAAATCTCCTTACCCATAATTTAGAATATATTAAAATAGAATATTGTCTGTATAAAAAAAAACGAAAATATTGATAATGAAATACCCCTAAACATCATCCAAGAGTAATATAAAGAAATTTAACCGAAGATTGTCAGTTTTTATAGGGCCATTTAAGGGTTCGAGTTTCCAGGCTTGTATAACCAATGAGTTGTGAAGTGAAAAAATAAAATAAAAACACTATTTTGTATTTAGCCTTGTATATATGTGAAATGCTGCTCTATCATTCAGCGAGGGGGCAATATATGGGTAAAAAAGTGATTTTGTTCAAAGCTGGTAATGAGTTATGGCATTGGTTTAAAAAAACAACTAAATATTTGTACTTAGGCATGGTATATCTGATTCTTGATATAGATAGTGTTTTCTTTTATTCTTTTACTCTTCTTTTTCTTCTGTTTTTGTCTGTTTTGGGGACAGTTTTGTGAAATATGGGATGGACCGTACGGTCATGGTAAAACAGGTCTTGCCATTGTGCATTGAATGGCTGCTGCTGCTGCTCCCTGTCATTGTAAAATATAATTTGGTTGTGGGAGGAAATATTTCGGCTTCTAATCACAAGGTGCTATGTGGACAAAAAGAATATCTTCTAGGTCAATAATCATGCATATTTATTTGGGGGATTATTTAGGCCAAAATTGGGAGATATTATCATCAATTAGGGATTTGATTCTAATTGAAATCCCTAATTTACTCAATCTCTCCATTTAAGGGAAAGAATATTTTCCTTCCAAATAGGAAAATATTCTTTACAAAACCCTAACACACGAGGTGATTATAAATAGATTGCTACACCAAGCATACAAAGTAATCTGAAACTCAACTGACTTGATTGTTGGGGAAGGCAAGGTAAAGTTAAGTGAACAAAGAATGAAATCTATTATCACTGTATATATGACTGCTCGACATGAGTTCAGCAAGCCTTATTTATTCTTTTCAATTCTATCCGGTTGCATGTTTTTTGTTTCTCCTTTTCCTTTTTATATAATATTTTCACTTCCCCCCTCTCCAGGTAATGTGTTTTGTGAAGCTCTTTAACAGTTTCTACTTTGTTTATATGTTCTTGAGTGTTAGAGTTTCCATTCAGATCAACATAAGGCCTTCTTAGGTCCAGCGTGTGAAGCATGTAATGAGGGGGAAAACGTTCCCCGTCGATCATCGATCCATTAATTTAAGTTCTTCTAGCATCGCCCTATAAGAAAATCACCGCAGTCAATGCAAATCAATGTCATGCCGTTGATGAAAACCTTTAGCCACCAAACGGGCCTTAGAGCACTTCCAACACCAAGGGCTGGGGGGGGGTGGTTTAGGCCCAAAAACAGTTTCCAGCAACAAGGGCTGGCCAGGGCAATTGTTGGGGCCCACAAAACCAGGCCAGCCCTCAAGCAAGATGAGCTCGAGTTCAACTCCGAGGTACAAAAAAAACAAAATTTTCAGTTTTTTTTTAAATAAATAAATATTTAGTCATAGTTTTCACTTCCCACACCAAACTCTATACAAATTTCTCTCCTCATATCTCATATGAATAGTTGTTGTCATGGCAATTGATGGAAACACCACAACATTTTGCAAGGGCAGTCACTATTCACGTGAATAGTGGTTGCCCTAGCCTCCCCCTTGCCATGGCAAAGGGCAAACTATTAGAAGTTCTCTTATATCGGTCAATAGCGCCATTAGGATGGCGTTTGATGCGGAATACCCATTTGCACCCAATAAGATTATGATGAGGATTTAGTGATTGATATATTATATATGAGTGACATTTCCTTGTGACTATACACTACAGTCCCTCTATAATTGTCTTGTTGATTGGTTTCTATATTAAGCACTTTTGAAAAAAGCGACATCATGAGAAGCCAATTCTGTTTGCAGGCTCACTTTCTGACTAAAAAACCATCATGGCCTCTTTTCATTTGTGCTTCTCCTACATGGTGATGATGCTCATGGTTATATCCTGCAATCTATATGGAGCACATTCTGGTACTGCAAACCCTAGCTCTGCTTTCTACATCAAGATGTATAATATATATCCATGTTAATTTTCTCTTGTTTAATCGTTGCTTTTATTAATTACTCTTTGATTAAATATTAGGGGGTTGCAAAGCCAGAGACATAAGCATCTCACAAGGGAAAATTTCAGAGACTGGGATCCCAAAGTACAGCGTACAGATTGCGAACGAGTGTGTTTTTGACTGTGCTGCTTCAGACATCCACGTCCACTGTGGTCAGTTTGCCTCTACAGAAGTTATGAACCCAGCTGAGTTCAGGAGGCTCTCTTTTGATGATTGCTTGGTGAACAACGGACAGCCTTTGAAGCCCCATCAGCTCATCAGCTTCACTTACTCCAACACCTTCATGTACCCCCTTGCTTTCAAGTCCGCAAAGTTTATTTGCTAATTATATTTTAGCCCTCGCAACTATCACATTCTACTTAGGGTGATCATTTTGAGACTTAGCCACCAATAGTTTATGTTATTCTTGCTTTCAAGTCCGCAAAGTTTATTTGCTAATTATATTTTAGCCCTCGCAACTATCACATTCTACTTAGGGTGATCATTTTGAGACTTAGCCACCAATAGTTTATGTTATTCTTCTCTCTCTCTCTCTCTCTCTCTCTCTCTCTCTCTCTGGCTTTGGCAACCAGAGCTCAAGTACAGATAAGTAGAAAACAGAATGAATGTTGACCTAAAAAAAAGCAGAATGAATGATTGGAGATACTCTTTTATTCTTTGCCTATAAATGGGGTATTGAATTTTGTACAAAGAAAAAGGGGTTTTGAAAATGGCCTTCTTCATGCTAGTTGTGATGGAACAACAAAAAGGAAACCAAATTGTTATTTTTGTAATCATTCTGTAAATAGTATTATGCAGTTCAGAACATTTGGTGTCTGTGTTTAAATGCTTCCCCTGTGCTTACTTTATGTTTGTCTTCAACAAGCTTACATGCTTACATGAGCTGTGTTGTCATTTTGCCCATATCTGATTGGTATTGGCATATTTAACACATGGTACTTGAAAGCCACATTATTTTCCTTCAAATACAGAAACCAAAACAAGAATTGAACAAGAATTGACAAATTCCTTAAATAAATAAAAATAGGTATTTACCAGGTGGAGAGATGGGATCATGCCCCAAAAAATTTCTGCAATAGTTTCCATTCTGTCTTCTTGTATCTACCAAGGTGAAAAACAAAAATTTGAAGAGGCATTATATCAATACACAGCCTACTTAAAGAAAATTCCTAGCCAGAAAACAAAACAATATAGAAAAAGAGGTGACCGAGGCATAGTTTACATGATTGGCCTCATCTTCCTCTTGGATTCACTATTTGTGAAAAAACTGCACTTGTGTTTAAATCTTCTACAGTAGCCTCACTTGCAGTGCTCTCTTCCTCGATGGTCAATGTGGAATTGTGAATTGCATAAGCATCATTTGCTTTATCTTGAGCAACAACTGCTTCTCCATCAGGGTTTTCATGCAGTTGAAGTGCGAACTCGAGGTTCCAAAGCACGTCACCCATTGAAGGACGTTCAAGTCCATGATCAGCTAAGCACTTCTCAGCTGTCTCTGAAAACTTTTTCAGACACTCAGGATTTATAGGGGGTCCTGCCTTAAGATGTGGATCGACAATTTCGCTGAGAATTCCCTTTTTCCGACAATGTATAGCCCAATCTGCTAGACTAACTTGTTCCTTTGGCAATGTGGCATTAAGCGCTGGCCTTGCACACAGGACTTCAAACAGAACCACCCCAAAAGAGTACACATCAGATTTTTCTGTCAATTGTTGCCTGCGGAAATATTCAGGGTCCAAGTACCCAAAGCTCCCCTTCACCACTGTACTAACATGGGTTTGATTTTGATTAATATTAGGACCTGTTTTTGATAGCCCGAAATCAGACACTTTAGCTACCCAATTCTCGTCCAATAGAATGTTTGTGGTTTTCACATCTCTATGGATGATGGTGTACCTGGCACCAGTATGAAGATAATGTAATCCTCTAGCAGCTCCAATGCAAATTTCCAACCTTTGCTTCCATGACAAGGGAGGTTGGTTGCTCTTGTATAGGTGTTCCCTTAGAGTCCCATTAGCCATGTAATCATAAACAAGAACCATCTCGCCGTCTTCTTCGCAAAAACCAATCAAAGAGACTAAATGCTTGTGTCTAAGCTTTGAAAGCATCTCAATTTCAGTTTGGAATTCATTAACTCCTTGCTCCGAAGATGGATTCGATCTTTTTATAGCCACTTGGGTCCCTCCATCAATAATGCCTTTGTAAACCTTCCCAAACCCTCCAACCCCAATAACTTGAGATTCATCAAAGTTCTTGGTACCATGTTTTATCTCAGATAATGAAAAATGCCTACATAGACCAGCAGCCAGACTTGAAAGGTGGCTGCTACCAGTGTTGCTCTTGCCAGAAATAGTTGATGTGTGAGAGTTACCATAAAGGGGCAACCAAGCACCCATCCCAGACTCCATTCCATTCTTTCTCTTCTTCTTTATGTACACGACAAAGCATACTGCTGCAACTACAGCCGCACCGCCAGCAGCCCCACCAGCTATTCCAATTACTTCACCCTTGCTCTTGGATTCCGGCGGAGGAGAAAAATTACTAGCTGCAGCAGCCTCGGCTTCTTGAAGCATCTTCGAAGGCTCAGGATTTGGGCCTGCCAAGTTCCCACGTGTGTCATTGAGCTTAAAGATCTCCAAACCATTAAGAATTGAGTCATAATACTCAGGCTTCTCTGACACAGATGGATGCAATGCCACCCATATTTCCTCATCACCATCTCTATCATTAACAACAGTTGCATAATCTTTATAAACTGGCACTCCTATGGACCCTGCCCAAGCAATCGCATCCGCAGATTGCTGTGCTGTTCGGTTGTTGAGGAAAATATCAAACACCCTCTGATTAATCTTGGTAAGTTGAAGCTCACAAAAATGGAACCTAACAACATATGTAAAATTGGCATCAACAGAGAAAACCCATGTGAGATTGTAATTCTGATTGATTTTGGGGTCCGGTCCCATTGATCTAGCCGTGCTGTACACATTCAGAGGTGCAATATAGCCTGGCACTTCAGGAGGATATTTAATGCTAACATTTTTACCAGCCTCAGATGTGACCCCAAATGCTGCACCAAACAAGTATGGCGAATCATCGTACCATGTCCTTGTAAGCCCTGAATCATTGGTTGTAGGAATAAACTGTCCACCAACATTGAGCCTGAACATGGTCTGAAGGGAAGAGCTCTGGACCTCGACAGTTTGGTCCTGGAACCCGATCAAGTTTGCAGGCTTGAACATATCAGCAGGCATTGAGATGACCTCAACCCCATTGACAAAAGCATAGGATTTATCATGCTGTGAAGAGGGTATGAATGTGATGTTGAGATTGCCAGACTGGGGAGGAATGAGTGAGAATTCTCTCATGATATAGGCCTGTGTGAGAGCTTGGGCTGTAATGGAGGCACTGAAATTGTGGAGGAGAGTAAACCCATTTGCAACCACGTCGAAATATGAGTTGGAAGGCTCGAGGCTGTTATAGGAAGTTGGATAAAAATGGAGCCTGACCAAAAGGCGTTGCTTGGGTGAAACAGAGAACTTGTACGACGATGCAGAGTTGAAAATTCTTGCAGACATGTATGGAACTTGAGAAGGCAGAGAAGGGTCTTGGTATTGGGCCGTTGCCGTGTTCGATTTATCGGAGGACGTAAGAAACTGGGAATCTGAGGCCCATTTGCGGCCATCGGAATCGGTGCCTCCACTTGAAGAGCCACAAGAAATGACGTAAGAATCAGAGTCTTTGCCATGAACATGAACGGTGTTTAATGAGAAAGATAACAAGATCAGAGAAAATAAGATATGGGTTTTGGAGATCATTGCTGAAAAGAGAAACCCTTTTGATGGAGAATTCAAGAGCTGAAAGGTTAAGGAAGAACAAGATCAATATATATGTATGGTACAGGGGAAAACATAGTACAGGAGAACAAGAACAATGAGAGAATGTTTTCCTGTACTTTCCTGATGTTCAATTACAATAACTGTATTAAATCCAGATGGGTTCTTCTGGTTTTCATGAAAAGTAAAGATTACAAATTTACCTGGAAATTTCAGGATGATATGCAAGAATTACAAATCAAGATGTGTTTTTGCTTTCATTTTTCTCTGTTGTGTTTTTTTTTTGGGTCCAGGGTCTAGGGAACGTTACGATCGGAGGCAGTTACTGGTTAGAGAGTAATTGGGTTAGAGAGAGAAACGGTAAATGGTGTTTGGCATTGACTGCCTTGGCGTTTCTTTAGGTTTGATTTTGAGCGGTGATTCATTCACCGAGTGGATTGATGAATGAATCCGAATTATACTTTGGTTTTGTTTGTAATGTGTATGCTTGCACTGCATGGGTCAATTGAAATCCCAATCACAAGGCATATTATCCATCACACATTTTTTTTTATATAGAAATTATGAAATTGCATTTATAATATAGCAAAAAAAGTCACTAACCATAAATGGCGAATACAAACTAGCAACAAATGGTCATTATAATAATGAAGCGATTTAACATCAAAATTAAGACAATCTAAGGCTCCTGCACGCAAAATCATATCCATAACACACTAAATTCGTCTTTTTGGTAATTTTATAAGAAGCTAAGTATAATCCTTCTCTACACAAAAGAAAAAAACATGTATAATCCTTTTCTTTTCTTTTTTAATTAAGATCATATTCAAAATCAGATCATTTGGAGACCTATTGGATTTGGCGCCATTGTCTACGTTTCTACACATATACAATATTCATAAATAAATAACTATATAAGACAAATTATATATTATACTAATTCATATTTATAATCCCTATTTGATTTGTTAAGGCACTTTATATCACATTAATTACATATAACTTAGGTCAGATCTTGATAAAATTGTGTAAGGTAATAGCTCATCTTGGCATTATAATTATATATAAATTATAACAAAATATGATTACATAAGGTTCACCACTATAATAGTGCAAGAATAATGTTTAACAATGTATAAAAATGATTACTGTAAATCATTTTTTCTTACATAGGGGTGTAGATGAGTCGAGTCAAACCGAATATCAAGGTTCACAAGCTTAGCTCGAATGATTTTTTTCGAACTATGAGATTTTGAAATACACCTTTTCACATAGAATGTTGCATAGAGTATTAGAAACATCATAAAAGGGCTTTCTCATAAGAATGGAAGCCAATGCCCATTCTCCCATGCAGTCCACTTTTAAGTGATTGTGCTTCCTTTTTTCTTCGGTTGTTTTTATTATTTCTCATTGACAAGTAATGTAATTGGTACTCAAAGTACATCACAATCAAAAACTAATTAAGGAAAAACACAATTACAAGTACTCAAACTTTTTAATTGTGTCTTTTAAAGGGTTGCAATATTGTTATTAAGATAGAAACAAAGGATGATGATGCTTGTTTCAATATACAGTTCCTTGTCACCAACAAAAAAAATAAATTATGGTGCAAATGAAAGAGATTTTACTATCATAGTCGACTATTGTATGCTTGTTTTTTACATGTAATGTAGCCGATAAATTGCATTAAAAAAAAGTATCACGCTTATATACTTTGAAACCCTGGAAATTTGGAATCAAAATAGTTGAAGTTAAGTATATGAATCAAAAGGGGATCCATTTCCAGAAAATCCCCCAACATCAAGGTCTAGAGTAAGTTTGGCATAAAACTCCTGGCTGCAGCGTCAGCGTTAAGAAGCATCTTTGAGGGCACAATATTTGGACCTGCAAAGTTCCCATGGGTGTCATTGACCTTAAAGATCTCCAGTCCATTAAGAATTGCATCATAATACTGAGGATGCTGCTCCCGGTTTGGATGCAAGGCCACCCAAAGTACCTCATCTCCCTCTTTATCATTAACATGAGTTGCATAATCCTTATAAATTGGCGTCCCTATGGACCCTGCCCACTGAATCACATCTGCAGTATCCTCTGCTGTTTGGTTGTTGAGAAAAATTTCAAACGATCTCTCATTGGCCTTGGTGCTTTGGAGCTCACAGAAATGGAACCTAACCAGATATGTAAAATTTGCATCAACCTGGAAAACCCAAGTGAGATTATATTTCTCATTGACTTTCGGATCGGGCCCCATGGATCTTGCTGTCCTGTACACACTGAGAGGTGCAACAAATTCTGGCACATCAGAAGTGTGTTGAACTGTGACATTATTGTCAGCCTCCATTGCAACACCAAGAAAGACCCCATCGAAAAATGAAGCCCCAAAAGCTGCGTTTAACAAGTAGGGTGAGTCATCTAGCCAAGTCCTGGCCAGCCCTGAGTCGTTTATTGGTGGAATGTAGCCTCCGCCGACATTGAGCCTGTGCATGGTCTGGAGCGAAGAGCCTTGGATGTCGATTGATTGGCCCTTGAACCCGATCAAGTCTGCGGGCTTGAACGTGTCCTCCATGGGGATTATCTCGATGGAATTGACGAAAGCGAAGAAATTTTCGTGTTTCGAAGAAGGTGTGAATGTGATGGTAAGAGAGCCGGATGGTACAGGGACGAGCGAGTACTCTCTTATGATGTAGGCCTGCGTGAGAGCCAGGGCTGTGATGAAAGGACTGAAATGGCGGAGCAGAGTGAGGCCATTCGCCTTTACGTCGAAAACTGCTTTGGTGTTTTCCAAAGACCCGTAAACAGATGGGTAAAACTGGAATCTCAAGAGAAGGCGCTGACTGGATGAAACAGAGAACTTGTATGATGTTGCAGAGTTGATGATTCTTGTTGTCATGTATGGGACTTTGGAAGGCAGAGCTGGGTCTTGGTAGTCCGTTGTTGCACTCTTCGTGTTGTCGGAGGAGGTGAGAAACTTTGAATCCGAGGCCCATTTGCGGCCAGACGAATCAGTTTCGCCATCCGGGGAAGAGCCACAAGAGATGAATTGGGACTCGGAGGCTGAGGCTGGGGCTGGGGCCGAGGCTGGGGTTGGGGCTGGGGCTTCGCAGAGAACATGAATGGCGTTTAATGAGAAAGAGGAAAGCAAAATCAGAGAAAACAAGATTTGGGTTTTGGAGATCATAGCTGAATGGAGCAACCCTTTACAGATGGAGAGATTTCAACAACTGAGATGTCAGGGGAGGACAAGGCCAATTGTTGTCACAGGGGAAAAGCAGAGTACAGGAAAACTGGGAAACATTCCTGTACAAGAATTCAATTGCAATGGCTCTATCAAATCAAACTTTGTTTTGGTTTAAATTGAAGAAAAGATTACAAATTTACCTGAGAATTGAAGGAAGTGATGCAAGAATTAGAATTCCAACTGTGTTTTGCTTTCATTTCTCTGTAATTTTGTTTTGTTTTTCCTTTGAATTTTTGTGTCCTTTTCCGGTCCAGGGTGGAGGGTCGTTAGGACAGGAGGTCGTTATGTGGTTGGAGAGCAACGGTAAGAGAGAGGCGCTTAATTCTCTATGGCCTTGACCGAGTCGAGGAATGATCCCAAATTATCTTTTGGGTTGTAGATGTTTTGCATTGCATGGGTCTATACAATACATCTATTCCTTTTACCTTTAGTACTTTCTATTAACTATATATATATATGTCGATTTTAATATAACATATTATACAAAAATTTATATAGAACCTATTTGAAGAGAAAACCCCAAAATTAGCAAACACTAAATCAAAATGAAGCCTTCATCAATATTAAATTTTAACACGTGAATTAATAATATTACGTGAGAGTGTGAAGTTTCCATCCCTTTTTTTATTTTTTTGTGTTTTAATAATAAACAATACTTCTTTAATGCATGTACTAAGGTAGGCACTGCCTTCATTTACCTGAAGAAAGACAAAAAGGAACACTGCTTTGCCAGTGAGCTTCTAAATAATACGTGAAAAACACGTCTTATGTACAGCTCTTTAATTATTCTAGTAAGTATATAAAATTTGGGAATTGGAACAATATTGAAGATTTAAGACCGACCACCCCCCACCCTATTAAAAAGGAAAAGCAGTTATCAACATTTCAATGTGAGCTGGTGGACGACGATGAGCAGCCATGGATTTCTTCATATGGCTTCGGACCATCCATCACAAAGCTTCCTGATCATTAGCATGACTCTATAACATACATGTGTCTAGTAGATTATACCAAAGGCACAAAAATTTGTTTAAACGTTTGAGAACAAATTAAGTCACAAGTTTATGGTTGAATTAATGAGGAGGGAGGAGAGAGAAAATGGGTTAGTTCAAGGCATATTAATCATATATAGTTGAGATGATATTGATTTCTTTTCGAATGCAATCTCAACCATTAAAAGTTTAAAACTACTTTAATATCATGTGAACCATTTACCCACGTATCAGATAACCCTAAACCCTAAAGACGAGATACTACACTTGATCTTAGTCAAAAGGCCAAGAAAGGTATGCTTATTATTGTCTTGGGCTGATTCTTTTATACGCACACCTTTATTCATTTCCTTTCTTCAACTTGTCGATGTGGGATTGCGAACACACTCTCTTGAATCCCACCAAAAATAATTGTGGGCAGCCAAAGGCAAGTAGTTAGAGCACTTCCATTGGTTACCTTTTGGTCTGGCAAAAGGCAGCCCAGTCTTGAATGAATGCCCACAACAACAAAGGTTTGATTGGGTAAGAATGTGCCATATTTACCCGCGCCAGCCCAAAGGCAAGAATTGTATGGGCTATTGCTTGTGTTAGCGTGACATCAGCAATCAATTTAAATACCCAACAAAATATTTAAAAAAATACATAGCTCTGTTCTTCACTTCCCACACCAAAACTCCGTACAAATTCCTTGCATATCTCATGTGCATAGTGTTTGTCTTTACTTGCCGTGGCAATGGGTGGGAAAGCAAAATTAAAAAGGGTAGGGCATACACTATTCTCGTGAATAGTGTCTGCTCTTACTTACCTTTGCCCTTTGCCATGGCACAATGGGTGGAAATACTCTAAGCATGCACATATATATCATGTTCCCAAAACAACATCAGTTCATGTGTTTGTACTTGAAGGTTTCGTCTGCAAACTCATTGAAAACCAACAATGTTTTAACAATAAGTAACTGGAATTGAAGTGTCTAAATGTGAGGAGATGGTGTACTTTAAAATTCAACTTTGTAAATTGAGGATTTGTTTGTTTGGTGAGTGTGTCAGTTTTTACTAACTCTCTGTGTATGTTATACCAAAATACGATTGACATGCCCTTGCCAATTAAGAACATCAAATTTTCAAAGAGAAAAATTTCTACACTGAAAGAGCTCTCAACACTAGCATATCCTCATAAGCCCTTCAACACCGTACCAGAGGGTGCACCTCCCCCCACTACGATATCCTCTCTCCTTTCTTCCCTCTTCTTTTCTCAACCTTTTTTTTAATTATTTTTTAGGGTTCACCTTCTTCTCTCTACCCTCACCTTTTTTACCCTAAAATTTGGGTGAATATGGAAACCCTAGATCTACAATTTCTTCCTAATCTTTCTCCCGTACCCACCACCTTTGGTTTTCACCATACACTTCTTACTTTCATCATCTACTTTCCCCCTATATGTTATATTGTTCTCTACCCATCGCATGCACCTGCATCTCTGCATTAGATCTCCACCACCATCATTTGCTCCTCAACTCCACTGGTGCCTCTTCCGTCATTTTGCACTTATTTTTTGGGATTGTAGTAGCGCTCTTTAAAGCTTTGGTGTCTTGTCCACCACCATTCTCCGTTGGAAGCTTTGATTTTATTTAATAGTTACTCCTCCGCGGTTGTAGACGCACTTTGGTGGTACAGTAGTTTCATGTTCTTAGGTTTAGGGTTTTCTTTGTTTGTGTTATTTTGGGCGGGATCTTTGTTTTTGGGACTTGCCAACACTCCCCCTCAAGTTGGGGCAAAGATATTTCACATGCCCAACTTGCGCCTCTATAGATCCGCCAGTGAATGGGTGGGAAAGCAAAATTAAAAAGGGTAGGTGAATAGTATTTGCCCTTACTTGCCACTGCCCTTTGTCATGGCACAATGGGTGGAAATGCTTTAGGTAGGCACATATATATCATGTTCCCAAAACAACACCAGTTCATGTGTTTGTACTTAAAGGTTTCGTATACAAACTCATTGAAAACCAACAATGTTTCAACAATAAGTAACTAGAATTAAAGTGTCTAAATGTGAGGAGAGGGTGTACTTTAAAATTCAACTTTGTAAATTAGGATTTGTTTGTTTGGTGAGTGTGTTAGTTTTTACCAACTCTCTAAGTATGTTATACCAAAATACGATTGACATGCCCTTGCCAATTAAGAGCATCAAATTTTCAAAGAGAAAATTTTCTACACATAAAGAGTTCTCAACACTAGCATATCATCATAAGCCCTTAAACACCGTACTAGAGGGTGCACCTCCCCCCACTACCCTATCCTCCTTTCTTCCTCTCTTTTTCTTTTCTTTTTTTTTTTTTTTTTTTTTTTTTTTTTTTTTTTTTTTCTTCATCTTTTCCTCTCTACCTCTACCTTTTTCCCTTAAAATTTGGGTGAATATGTGTCACACCCCAACCCTCGGATTTACAAAACCTTGGGTTAAGACATGATTCACACCTTAATTATAGAATTTAATAAAAACTATAACTAAAATGTGAAGAAAATATTTAAATAAATAAAATAAATATTTCACATAGAATATTCAGCAGAAACGATAACATCTGAAACCGTAAAAATTTTACATTATTTTACAAGTTAAAATTACTCGAGAGTTCACTAAAAAAAGTAGCTCATTATTCATCCACAAGCTATAATACACTCTATAAACATGCCAAAAATCATCACAAGCTCTAGATTTCAGGTTCGGTACCTGCAAAATCTATTAGGGAGTGAGTAAAATCACAGCTCAGAAGGGACATAAATCTTTTCACGATAAATTGATATAATTAAATTAAGTGATAAATAATCAAGCAGCCAAATTTCACATTATTAGTAACAATGTATGAATGCTCTTCATCTAATCTCGTTAATTCATATAATTAGACAAGCAGACCTGCACGTTCCATACCATGCTTTTACCACTTGGTCCCGAATTCCCATTTATATGAACTAACACCCATTTCAACTGTCCCATAATTTCCCTTTTGTTAGTCATCTTGTCTAACTCCCTTTCGCCAGTCCCGAATCACCTAATAAAAACCATGTGCACTGTGGGATCCCTGAGACCTGGTACCTGTCAAGAGTTAGACTCAACTACACAAAAGATCCTTTCCATTACCCTCTTTTCCACCATTATTTTCTCAACTCCAGAATTCTAGTCAAATTCCATGACATGATATAATTATGCCCTTCACAACAATGTAGCCATTTAAAATATCACCAATGCACTTATAATTATGCCCACATTGTTCAAATAGTTAAGAGTACGTAAATATCCAATACAAGGAACGTAAATCAAACAGTACTACATTAACCAAATAGTTAACAATTTATAAACATCCAATATCCAGAACATTATACAATATCAAAAAAAAATATCCATAATATAAAGCTCACGAAATTTAATTAAATCAATCTTTGTAAAAGGCCTCCCAAGAAACCCCTACCTTGATACCAAAGCCTTTGCTCTAAGTTAAGAAAACACAAGCTCTAACCTCTAACTATTCCAAGAATATTATTACCACTCTCTCTTTCTTTTTCTCTCCCTCCCTATGTGCAACCTCTAATATTACACAAGGTTGTTATCTAATGTTTTCAACAATAGAGGAGCCTATTTATACTTAGAGAATGTCAGTTCTAGTGCTGAGATTTGGCAACAACTATGGATAACTTTCCTTGCCTACTTAGTCTCCAAGGAATATCTACTCTTATTTAAATATTTTAATGCTTGTATGTGGATGCAGGTGTTAATAAAATGAAAACTAATCTTGCCACCTATGCTAAACTGATGCCAGCTAGTAGTAAAATGCCGCTTCAACTTTACTTGCAACTTAATTCAAGTACAATATAACTTATATGCATAAAGGATAGGTCGGCTACCATTGGCAGTTTATGTACTTTTTACCCAAGTAAAGTAAAGTATATATATATATATA